CACAAGAGGGAAAAGTGGATCTAAAAATGAATTTTCTTTATTCAAATTACCATGAAACCATTGTCATTTTGTTCTCTGTGCCCGTGTTGATCATAGACTGTGCTGTAAATGAAAATGGGCATCATTAAGAAGACCAAAAAGGTTCAGTGAGGATCTTTGACATTTGATCACCAACTTAAAGTTTTGGTTGGTGAAAAGGGTGTGATGTCAGTTCAGTGACTCTTCCAGCCAAGTTGCACAAATGAATGAAGGCATGGGATATATTTTATGTACAGTCAGTGGTGCTGAAAAAAGTTTTTGAAAAACAAACAAACAAACAAACAAAAAAGTAATTTACTGCAGAGTACAAGCTGAATAACTCTCTGAGACACAAATAATTAATCCCACAGTGGCTCAGTTTGATTAACGGGGTTGTATTCAGCCTCTTACTTGCTGTCTTGAGAAATTCACTTCTTACGTCTTTAAACACAACGAAATGCTTTAACAGCAAAGTCACTTCCTATGCTTCTTACCAAATACGACAGGTTAGTATTTCGGGGGAATTTCACATTAACTATGACCCTTACATGTCTGAACTTTGCAACTATGACGCACTTGCGACGACTCATTAGTTCCCTTTTTTTCTTGCACGCTGACAGCAACAATCTGTTAAATCATGACGAATGAAGAAGTCGATGCTTTCTATGTAACACAAAGCCTCTAAAATCTGCATCTTCTTTAAACAGTGAAACAAATGTAAATTTTAGGAGCACTTTGGTTTAGCAACAGAAGTAAGCGAACAGTAAGCGACTGGCTGGCAAACATACGTAAAGTAGCATTTCGCAGATAATGTGCTGTTGCGGGGCAGTTAGATGAGGCCAAAACAGAGCTGAAAACCACTGGGTTAATTCAACAGGCATCAAGTGAAAAATAAATTACACATTTGTTAAATTCTTTGTTGCACTGCCCCCAATTGGCTGAAAAGGAGGTAAATGTCTGAAGATGGCAAAGGAGAGCATGTCTGACTCATTTCCTCTAATCTGATAGTACACTTCATAAGTAAGTGAGTAAACGGATGAAAACAAGTGTTTGCCTCATTTGCTTTTACCTCTGTTTACCTGTTTATGGTCTGTCTAGCCTCTCCATCAGTGAAATGGGTTAGCAAGCTGAGGCACGAAAAAAACAACTCCAAAGTCAATCTCTTTTTTCACTGGTGGTCTTGTTCTCTTCACCCATTTGAGTAGAATTACCCTTTAAAACATGAAATACTTTTACCTGACCTCCAGTTGTTCCAAGACCAGAAATCGTATCAGAAACACCAGCACAACCTCATTTAGTTTCACCCCCGCCTGACATCCCTGAGAGGGAATCACTGTGGGGTTTGAACCGGGGGGTATCACATTGATGAAAGGCTTGTTGGCCACAGACATAATTGAATAAAAATTCCAGTTGTTCTTAGATCCCCTTTTAGCCTCTGGGTCTTTGAGGTGGGCCCCAGAAATCTGAGGAATGAGAGGCTGCCCCGGCGCTGTGGACTTGCTTAAATCCTGCCCTACTGAGAGAATACTGATGAGAAGAGCTCTGACAATAGAGGAGGGAGTGTGTGTGTCTGTGTGTGTGTGTCTGTGTGTGGTTAAACGCTGGGCCTTGAACCTGAAAGACCCACAGTCCTATCATATATTTATGGGAGGTGTCAGACACTACAGCGGGGATGATATCTGAACGGCAGACCCTGGAGATAAACAGCCCACAGTGACGACATGCTGTACAAGTGAGAGGTTTCAACAAGCTGATACACATCTCGGTCCTCCGCCAGTGTACACAGGAGTGGTCTCGGGTGGAGTTAGACTGTGATGTCGGTTTTGAAAGCAGGATTACATCACTGCTTGGCCATGTGAGGCTTCCTGCGTAACCTACATTACGTCTATTAGATCTTTATCACTCAATATCATGTCGGCTTTTGACGTATTATACAAAACAATGGCTTGTGTTGTAAAGGTCAATGAAGGCGTACACAAACATTGTCTGGTCTCCACCTTCAACTTGCCCAGACCTGGTGACTACTATCATCAACATAACCTCACATCGACTTTTTTCTGTCTATTTTTGGCGATGTCAGCAGTCCAATCCTTGACTTAATGCTGATGTATAATTTGGGATAATAGACGCATGAGCTGTAGATGTAGAAATACTGATTTAACAACTATATGATGGCGTTTTAAGCATGTTGGGGCTTTTGATTAATGGCGAACTGCTGCCACCTAGTGGCTTCTACTTGGACTCACAGCCTGATAGTACTAATAAGTATCTCTTTGGTTTTTAAGAACAGGTTAACTGAATAATTACAAAAGAACCAGTGATTAGTTGCATATGCATATATCTTACCAACCACCTTAATGCAGTGTTAAAAAAGGATTACAAGTTTGATGACAGTTTATTCACCATAAATGACTTTAAATAGCATAAATACTGTCTTTTGTACAAGAAAGGAGTTTCAGTGTCTTATGAAGGGGAAAACTTTTGCAAGAGATTTCAATATTTTATGAAGATTGAAGTCAAGTCTAGTGGCAGGGAAAACATTCGTTTCAAGAAATAACCAGAATAGATATTTCCACTCCTCAGCATAAGTAGGCACGTTTCTCTTGTGGAATAAAAACAAAACAAAAAACTCCCAAATAGCTTAGTTGGTATGTCAGGAGTAATACACACTCTATGTCAAAAAGAATTAAAACATCACTTTATGTCCTTTAAGTGCTTTGTAGCTTGGGCTACCACCTCTGCGCTAAGCTTACTAGTGGGTAAAACATCTCAGGCTGTCTTCTCATTTATTGTTTCACACTTGTGTAGCATTCATTTTAGAAACAAATCCTTTAATCAGGATTATTCATGTCATGCATTTGATTTCCAGATAAAGACAATTATAAAGAATTGTTTTGCATTTATTTAAAACTGTTCTTAAAAAGCAAATACATATAATTAAATCACGATCAATAGAGATTAACTATTCAAATTTTGCAATCAATCATGATTACATTGTGAATTGTGTGACCAAAAATTATAAATTCATCTGAACTAATGGTAATAAGACAGAGGTTAAAAAAAAAAGTCAGACAAACAGGAAACCTATTTTTGGAGTGACCACCAGGTGTCATAGTCATGCCAAGAGGACAGCTTTATGAGATACACATAGTTCACACATAGTTTAAAGTTTGATCTTCAGAGCACTGAGTCCTTGGCCAACAAAGTCATGTCATGAAAGTGAGGAAGTTTACACATCCAGGTTTCACCACACACTGTTAGCCAACATGTTCGTACTTCAGTCAACAAACTTGCCTTTCTGTAAGACAGTGATAACAAAGCTTTATTAGAGTCTCTAATAAGAGCGTGGCTAAGGCAAACCAAAGGACAAAACAAAACAGCCTTTCACATTTGATCTGATTTAAAGTTTTGATCTGTTACAGAGCTTGGTCATGATTTCTGAAATTACAGTGAAACCACTTGTGTTTCAGTGACTCTGATGTCATTCCACTGACAACAAAAATCCCTCTGTGTTCAACCAGTACATTTCCTTTACACACATTTTGAACTCTGTGGCAACAGTTTCTCAATGTTTGTAATAAAGTAGATAAAATAGACTGCCTACAATATACTTTATTCTCCTATTGATTTTACAACACTTTTATTTGCTTTTTCAATATATATTAGTTTTTGTTAAGGCTATTTGGAGGCCCAAATCGGTCAACCTCTCCCTAATCCTCTTAAAAAGGAGCTCAGGTTTTCATTGTGCCAAACCATTATGACGCAATGACTTAAAAAGGAAGGGGAACAATATAAGTTCACTTTGTCATAAATAAACAAGTAAAATGACTCCCGTATGAAGCTGGTAGTATAAAGATTATTGTGTTAGGAAATGCTAAACTGGTGTACTTCCATTTAACCCTAGAACACTATCGCCGGGTGATTTTTGCGTTTGTCTGAGTATCATGGGTCCCTGGGTAGCTTCAGCATTACCTTTGACATCTTTGAAGGCATATTTGTTTCCCTGATCCAAAACCTGCTTTTTCCTACAGGCACGTGTTCAGGTGATTTTCACCCGGCATTAGTGATTGAGGGTAAAGTAGGTTTGTGTGGATTTGATAGCTGCATGTAGGCGAATAAGGTCTTTATTTAGCGCAGTGTTTATGAACAACTATCACAAAGTAGTGATCGTAAGGGATTCATATGGTGATAAGAAATATTTCAGTCAGCTGGTTAGTCTCCACCTTGGAAGAAGGTGGAGACTATTCTAAAGAACATGGATCACCCACTTCACAACACCTTAATGGACCAAAGGGCTAATTGTGGTGGACGGCTGCTTTCTCTCTACTGCAGGACAGAAAGATTCAGAAGATCTTTTGTACCCACAGCCATCAGACTTTATAACTCTATATAAAGTATATAAAGTAGATAACTTTTAGAAACATGTCAAGTGAGACAACAGACAATTTAATTTTCCTACAGGGATTAATAAAGTTCTTATTCTTATTTTTACCCACTCAAAATATGCCATATTTTGGTTTTCTCTCTTGCAGCTGTTAACTAAGTTTACAATTTCTATACATATATTTTTAGGAATCTTTTGTTCATGAATGCCTAATTTCAATTATTGTGTTGCATTTTTATAGAGTCCGCTCATGGCACTTTTTCTCCCTCCCTTTGGACGTTACACAGTTAAAAATAAAGCTACTTTAATTTGTCATGTATTGTGCTATTTTGATATATTTTGATGTCAAGTACTTTTTCTTGGGTGTATTATTTCGACTAAAAATCACCCGGCGATAGTGATGGTGTTACTCATTTTAGCGATAGTGGTCTGGGATTAAATGCCGAAGTTTATGAGAGAAAAACATCCTTTAAGAAGATTTTATTTGTTTTCCTGCTTTTCCAAACCCCTGTAGCATCACCTCGCTAAGCCACACTCTGCCACCTGATTGGCTCGCCATGTTTCCGCTCTTCCAATCAGAAAGCCGCTCTGGCTCCGCCTGCCACATCACTAGCATGGCGGACTACGGAGCAGGAATTCCGCCTATGCGCTGATGACAGCGTCGTGGAGGGGGTAACATCGATAATGACCATCCTGTGGCGGTACAGGTCTGTTGCTCGGCTACGAGCGGCAATCCCTCAGAGCAACTAATCAGCTGAGAGCAACTCGGCAGCAGGAGAGCATCCAGTAGACCCACAGCTGTTTGGGCCACCAGCTGGTTCAGGAACCTGACAGAGCCGAGCCGAGTCTGTCCTGATGCTCAGATTTGGATCAGTGCCTTTTTCTACTCTTGAACTTCTGACTTGAACAAACTAGTTTACTTTCTCCTGGAGAGTTGAAGTCACACGATCATGGATTTGTTTGAGGTGCTGCATTTGGACGAGCTGTCCCACGGACTGGCAAACTTGTCCATGTTTCCATACTTTGACATGGCGCACTACATGGTGTCAGTCATGGCTCTGAGGGAGCAGCCAGGTGAGTGATCGAGCTGAGGCTGGCGCAAAGTTCAAGCCTCAACTCTCTCCCAGCACTCGACTATTACAGTTTTATCCTAGTTTTTAGTTTCTAACTTATTTATTTAGCTGAAACAAAGGACTAGTTCAGCATTGTTGTGTAAAAGTTTGCACCTGGTTGAAGTTCAGTTATAAGAGCCTGCAGCCATCCTGGCATTGAGAGCACTACAGTGAAACGCCGCCATTCAGGTTGAACAACAACACATGCAATTAAATAGAAATAATTATAACGACTGCAGCTGATGAAATCAAAATAACGTCGTCGTCGTCCCCTCTTTTCATTTGTAGTGATCTTTACTTAAGACCCTTTCAGAAAAATACTCAAAAGCCACATGACTTATGATATCAAATTATATGAATTAATTCCATGATTTTTATTTATTTTCATGAAATGTTCTTCAAAAGTCATAATAGTTTATCTTTAGGAGTATGAAGATGGTCTTTTAATCCTCCTGCAAAAGCATATAGGGGAGAGTGGGGTAAGTTGAGCCACCGCCCTGTTGCTTGGAAATAGTAAAATAAATTGATCATGTGACCAAATATTAAGGGGATGGGCATCAATTCATGGAGTCTGTGAAGGTTAGAAGCACATGGGTGAAGGGGTGAGACATTTATTCCCAGAAAAACATTTTTCACTCTTGACAGTGAATTTAGTCTGTCCTAAGTTTTATTAGAATTGTGTTCAGACCAAAAAAGATCATTATTAATTTCTTTATACATCAGTTGTGGTATCTATGAGCTACAACATGAGGTCAAAAACCTCAAAACCTTTCTCAGTGGCTCAGCTGAGAAAGTAAAGGAGTCTGATGAGAGGATCAGAGTTTCAGTTCAGATTGTTGAAATGTGTTACTTTAATTACAGAAATACAGCTGTGAATGTTCAGAATCACTTACATACATTCTCATGTTAAAATGACTTTTTACAAAACAGCTTTTTAGCAGTTATATGCAATAATGATAAAAATAATTATTGTACCAGTTGAATAGCTTATAATAGATATAATAATATAAAAAATACAAATACACAAATACACATGAATGTGAAGAAGTGACTGTTATTGAGGGAGAGAGAAGGTGAGGGAGGGCTGGGGTGGAGAGTGGGGGGGTAGTAGGGATACAGCTCAACTTACCCCACTCCTACGGTCAATTTACCCCATACACGGGGTGAGTTGACCATGGGAGACCACTTTTTTTTGGTATGCTATATTATCAAGACAGTTATGTTTACACTCATTCTGCTAATTTACAGGGATGCACAACATCTTGAAATATTTGCAGATACACTAGTTAGAGACAAAACTATGATTATCTTGATGTAGTGATCTGAAATATGAAAAATGGCTCATCTTACCCCACTCTCCCCTATATGTATTTTTTGTGCTCAATACATTGTTCCAATACTAATTTGTAATGTAGTGGCATTCATTTTGTCCTCAAAGAGTTGTATAAGTACATAAAGCGGGAGTTTGGGGTACAAAGGTGGCTCAGAAGTTAAATAAATAGACTCATCATCTAAGTCCTTGTTCAACACCTGTTTCCTGTTTGTTTTTCGTGTTTTACTCACAAAGACTCGGCCTAACTTTAAAAGAAAAACTCTCTCTCAGAGCAACAGTTGATTGTGTTAGCTCACACCAAAGACCGGCACCGGGCCAGCTACGTTATGTCACGGGGATAGTGGCAAGAGAGACAGGTGGACTGTAACCACACACACATAAACACAAGAACATACACACAGTCCATTGTAGTCCCGCCGCTGAGCGTCTATTTTTGAACTTGCCTTGCAAAGCATTCGAGCTCCCGTGACCTTTTAACCCTTCGTCCTCTGCTCCCATCTATCTGGAGCTGATTCAAACAGAGAGTAAAAATATGGAGAAACAATATGGCAGAAGACAGTAAACACAACACAAAGTCTGTGTGTGTGTGTGTGTGTTTATGAGGAAATTAGTTGTGTTTAAACATGGAGGGAAAACCCTGACAGGCACCCCACAGGCACTGTGACTTTCAAAATCGCTGAATTGATTCGAAAGCTACAAAAAGAAGTCAAATAAAAGTGGAATAAAGGTAAACCGTAAACAGTCAGAAAGTACGCTCCAGGTCTTCGTCTCCCCAAGAAGGGAAGGAATGCTGTAAACCTTTCAACCCTTTCTCTCTTTTCTTTTCCCTGTGCTAAATCTTCCCTTCCTGCTCTTAACTGCATCCAGTCTTGGAGTTTAGTGCTGCAGCTGCTCAGCACTCTCACAAATAGAAATGTACCATTCGCCTTTTCTCGAATTATCCAGAAGTTTCAAGCTGGATAACACGACTAATTATTTTTGAAACATAAGAAGCTCAGTGCCAAACATTTAAGGAGGGCTTCCCAGTTATTTTTCCATGTTTATGACACTGTCAGTGCAGATTACCACAGAGTTATTTTGAGCAGATTAATAAACATTGTTGTGAGTGGATTGAAAGGGACTCAAGAGGACAGGGACGAGGAAGAAGAACAGAGGTTGCGTGTCAATCATTGGTCCAATCCAAAAATAACCAGAGATAAGCCACTTTTTTCTTATCTGGTGCTGCCTGCAAGGGCAGTGTCTGCAGACGGGACAAGATAGAGGTGAAGAAAACGTTGAAAAGGGCAGTTAAGTTGAAGTAGGGTTGAGGTCACACTTGAAAACTTAGTGGTAGATTAAGAGAAAAGAGTGGAGAGGCCTGGGTTGATGTGTGGCATTTAGTCTCGTTGTGTCTGGTAGGATATGTGTGCTCATAGACAGGACTAATGACTTTATCAGACTGCAGTGTCACTGCTGGAGTAACAACGACACAGATGCTTGTTATTCCTCAGTCATCAGTCTCTACCATAAACTGTGATCCATTAATTTGTTTTCTAAGGTGTTTCAGCCTCCTGTTCTTTTCAGTGAAACTATCACCATCAGAAGTGACTATGCTCGAATGAAAGGTTGTATACAAATTGTTAATCACAGTCCTTGCAGACTTCTTACATAGGAAGCTACGGCCTCAAGCTTTCCTTCTTAACCATTTGTTTTACCGTAAATAAGACTATTGTTTACAAAATATGAATATCATACAGTCATTGCGAAGACTTGAATCTTGTAACTGACACCATGAATTAAGAAGTCTTAAAACTGCAGTTGCTCAAGTATCCACTTGAGGCTGAGGTTCCTTAAAGGGATATTCCGGCATAAAATTAATTTAGGGTCAAACACACCATAACACCGAGTTAGACATCCCCTCTAGAGATGACTGTTGCTGACCCCTTGCTTCTTTAACTGTAGTAATGACCGCACAATAGCAATACATGGCGAGCTAAGGAGCCATACACAAACCTAAACCAAAAAGCCACTCTATAGCCACAAATAATGCTCAGAACAGCACCTAACTTTATCAACAGTACAAGCCATAACACTAGCCACCAAACAAATTTTTAGCTTTGACAAAGTTCTTTAGCAAAGAGACTGAACACAACTCACCCACTCTCTTCCAGCAGCTATTTGTTTGTAGCCAGACCTCGGGTCAGTCCATTACGGACTGCTGCGGGGTGACGCAGCCCAAGGAAGAACATTTATGATCATTTCTTTATGAAAATGCAATCAGACAGAAACGCTAAGGCAGAAGAACTACCGCGTCTGCAGTGCAAAAATGATTAATATGGTGATTATTCCTTCAAGGAAATGATAGAGAAATTATCATAAATGTTCTTCTTTGAGCGGCGTCACCCCGCAGTAGTCGATGGACTCGCTTAAGGTCTCGCTACAAACAAGCGGCTGCTGGAAGAGAGTAGGTGAGTTGTGTTTAGTCTCTTTGCTAAAGAAATCAGGCAAAGCTAAACAGATGTTAGGTGCTATGGCTGGGACCCTATATGTACTGTTGATGAAGTTAGGTGCTGTTCTGAGCATTATTTGTGGCTATAGAGTGGCGTTTTGGTTGAGCGCGTGGCTCCTGAGACCGCTGCGTATTGCTGTTGTGCGGTCATTACTAAAGTTGGTCTAACTAGAGGGGCAAGCGGTTGGCGACATTCATCTCTCGAGGGGGTGTCTACCTCGGTGTTACAGTGTGTTTGACCCTAAATTAATTTTACGCCAGAATATTCCTTTAAGTGGGCAAATGAGGCTTCAAGAGTAAGGAGACCCTCTTATGTTAAAATAGATCAAAACCATCTTTATAATCCGGTTTAAAACATGAGGCAAAGGGTCGCAGGTTGGGATAATCTGGGACCCCTGAGCTAAACTGCATAATTTGTCATTATTCGGAGATACAAATTGTAGGTGTGAGCCAGGAAGCTAAAGTTCAGTCTAAACTCTGCCTCAGTGGCCTCATTTTTAATCTCCTAAAAGCTAGATTGATTCAGCATTTCTGATTTGATGACTGCCATCATTTGGCTTTGAAACTCCTCTTCAGAAACTAACGGTGATGCCACTGAGATCATACCTTTAATTTACTGTCTGCTGACTCCCTTTGTGTTAAATGATGAAAGGCCTTTAAAATATGAATAAATATAAACAATATGAATCAAAACAACAGTGTGGTGTAACAAAATCCACTCTTTACCTGTCAAAGTGAAAGCTACTACAGCTATAGAGAGAAAAGGAGGGAGATAGAGGAAGTGAAAGTAAGGAAACATATCACAGCTGTTGCGTTCCTGGCTGTGGCACTTTGACTTGTAAATTAGCCTTGTAATATTGTCTCCTTTAAATGCAAACCTGGAGGTAGAAACTTCACCAAGTGTGTGGTTTAAAGTGTATTTCTGGTTTAGAATGACACATCAACTTAAGACGTTTCAGAAAATATCTGTAACAAGGCTCTAAATGTGGGTTTAAATTCTGTGAGCTTCATGAATATCACCCCTCGGTTTTTCACTTTCAAAGTCGGTGCTCTGCCTGTCAGGCCCAGACAGCACTTTGTTCTGCTCCGAAACACAAAGTGATGACTAAGCAGCACTGTTTACTATGTAAGCAGGGTGGTGCTTTTATGAACTGTCTGCTGGAGTAGCTGTTAGACCAAAGAAACAGGCATTGAGCAGTTATGTAGGACACAACATGCATGACTGGTGGCATTTTTAACCACTTCCTATACTGTATGAGATTTGCATCTTTTTCCTCTGACTGTGGAAACTTATTCAGGACCACTGGGGTTTAAAATGTAAGATTTATAGCAGACATTATGTCAAACTCACCTCTTGTGTGCTTGTGGCGCAGCTGTCCCAGATATTTCTGGCTTTTAATAGTTTTTTAATGATGAAGGGTGAACCAGGGGGCACGAGAAAGTTCAAAATGTGAGGTAGAGCTAAAGGCACAGGTGCAGAGGAGACAAACAACAGGAAGTTATTTTAGTTTGGCCTGTTTACAGAGTGGCCGCAGCAGCTTTCATGTGCTGCTTTTGAAGACTATAAAGGCGTTGTGATTTGTCCATGCCCTTTGAGACACACTCAAAAAACTATGTTTCATATTTAATACGTTTTTGTCTTAAGGTGACGCTAACTTTCTGAGCATACAAACACCATTGTTTAGGTTCATTCTGTATTAAAGTTAACAGGTATAGTTTTATGGAGGCTAAAAACAAGAATCCCCAGTAATGAATTCAGCATAAACTTTTGTAGCTTTTTGCTCAACAGAAATGAGAACAGACAAAAAACGTGTGGCTTAAATAAATTACTGAGTAGCAAACGTCTCATAAGCTCTCAAATGAAGAGAATCATAGTTCCATAGCTGAGAGGATTTTTCATAGTGCTGGGACGATATGCTTTTCTCCTGATTCGTCTCTTCTACGACTTTTTCGATGCCGATACAATTTAAAATGCGATTCTATGATATTGTCAATTTTCCCGATGTTTATTCTGCATTTTTAACTCCACTGATACAGTTCAATAATTATGATTGCCTACTGACTATTCCAGGAACCATATTTCCCCTAAAAATACACATCCCATGTAAGTCAATTTTTAAGATTTATTCTTGAATTTGAAAAAAAAATCGATTTGAAAATTGTAAAACAAAAAATCGTAATACTTGTGTGAATCGATTTTTTTCTCCCACCCCTAATTTTTCATCCAGCTGTTAAAGAGGTCGGTTCACTGCAAAGCTTCACCCAAAAGTTTGAAAACAACTGTCTCAAACCTTCTGGTTTAAACTTCTGTAAAGACTAAGATTAGGCTTTCTATAAAAAAATTAGAAGCACATTTTTCAGTACTTAAAAATAGGAGAATAGGTGGAAAGTACACGAGCAGAAATACAAAAAAGTAAATCCAACTCTGAGATGTTCCCTGAGTATGTGTTTTTTTTAAGCATCAAGAAATGATTAAGTTCCTAAACTTCTATCAAAACTTGTAGATATTCTTGGGCAGTAAATTGAAGTGCTTCTCAAACATGTTCCTGCTATTTAGAGGTGATGGAGACTGTAAAAGTCCACTTGAATCTGCCGAGGAGGAGGAGGAGGATAGAGCCCTGAATCCTTCTGGTTTACTGGTCTCTCCAGGAGTCCATAATCTGTCTGTAATCCTCAGATTACCTGTATGGTCCTGTGTGCAGCCACAGTTACTCAATGTTGACTGAGCTGCTTCCTGTCTGAGGTTAAGTGAAACACATACTGTGTCCTTGTGCACCTTTTTCCACGCAGATTCCAGATTTTCAGAAACTTGTTTTTGCACATGCATGTCACAGCGGAGATCTCCTCTCGGTCTATCTAACATGAAAATGACAACAGGAGCGAGCTGAGACATGTCGCTCAACCCCGTTTCTTATGAAAATTTTGTTTCAGTCACTTGTGTTCACACGGGTACCAACCTTGAAAAAGTTCTGAAATTTTCAGGTTTGCCCAAGATAGTTGAAACTTTTTACTCTCCTTTAACTTAAAGGCTGACATGTAAAGCCTTCGAAACTTTTATTTATTTCATAATTAATTTCTGTACTCGTGCTTTTTAAGCTTCCTATAAATACTGACTGTTTTATAGAAGTTAGTGTGGCATTAGTGCAAATAGGCCTACAGTGTCGTCTTTTTTTCTTGAACAGGGTGAACACAGAGAACGTTGAGTAAGTTATGCTAATCTCTACTGTGCTGATACAATTTGTAACTGTAAATGTCATGTCTTAACTCTGCACTTTGTCCTGTTGACTCAGATGTAAATAATGATATAGTGCTTGTCAAACCTGTCTCTCTTGGTGCCCTTTATTTGTGTATCTAACTAGTCAATGTTTAAACAGATCCAGGGATTGATGCGGGAGATTGGGAAGGGGCCAAAGTCTCAAACTGGAGTGTCTTCTTTTTACTCTGATATGATAAAGTCAAAATGGTTTACTGTGACTTTACAGTTAGTGTTTCAACCTCCACTGAGTGATTATTATTTCTACAGACGCTGTGTTTGTTTGTTGCAGTGAGATTTGTATAATGACAGTGTTCATTCTTATGATTAATGGTTATTATAGGCAGCATGTTTGTGCGGCGTTCCCAACCTGAGAAATATTATCAGGCCTATTTTGAAACCTATGAAATATACTATATTTAATAAATTCCTTTCTGTTCTTGTGCAGGAGCCCTCGATGTCTCCAGAGTCAGCCCTATAGCCTGCTGGTTCAGCTCCATGCTCTTCTGTTTCGGTGGAGCGGTGCTGTCCGCCATCATGCTGGCCGAGCCTGCTGTTGCTCCTTTGTCCAACAGCACCAGTGTTCTGCTCGCTTCTGTCATCTGGTAAGTGATCTGGAAAAATCAAGGAAGGAAGAGGGAAACAGTGACAGTTAGTGAAAGCCCCTCTGCTGCCCTGAGGGATAAATAAACTCGTGATTTCCCTCTATGACCAACCAAAGAGCACAATAATGAGTTTTATATTTAGAAGAAATGTGAGTCTAACTGATTTACTCTTTAAAACATAAGCTTAAAAAGAGGATTATGAGTGAAACACAGAGTTTATTGTGAACCCTCCACTTTTGAACATGTAGCCTTTGGCGCCCTCTTCTGGTGACACATTTAATTACATCTCTCTCTTTCATTGCAACTCAGCAGTGCCCCCAGCTGGTAATGCCAGGTAACTAACAGAGCCTGGCAAGTGTGGTTGTAGCAATATCGAATTAACTAATACACTCTGTAAATGCATGAATGCAGCAGAAAGATCAGGTGTTTCTATCTTTCTATCTCTCTGAATGATTCCTGTCTCTGCAGGTACCTGGTGTTTTACTGCCCCATGGACCTGGTGTACTGCACTGCTGCCCTGCTGCCTCTCCGGCTGGTACTCTCAGGGATGAAGGAGGTGACCAGGACGTGGAAGGTGCTGGGTGGGGTCACACAGGCGCACAGCAAATACAATGACAGTCTGCTGGTCATGATCGCCATTGGCTGGGCTAGAGGTCAGTATCTGGTGGTGCATACTGGAGGAGAAAAAATCATAAATTTGGGTATTTTAGCTGAATTTGCACTCGGTCTCAACACTCAGTTTGAATTGCAGGTGCTGGAGGAGGTCTGATCAGTAACTTTGAGCAGCTTGTTCGAGGTGTTTGGAAACCAGAGACCAATGAGCTCCTCAAGATGTCTTAGTAAGTCCTCTACAACAATCTGTTTATTCTTGAACAGTGATTTCTTTCTTTACCTACGGCACAGAGAGGAAGTTTTTATTTTTGAGTATATGTAATAAAAGATTGGGGGATTTACGCTTCTCCAAACGTGGATTTGAAGCTGCAGTGTCAGTGCTAGTTATAACCAACAAAGCCACTTCCTGAGGTCTAGACTGAAATGATACCGCTCCTAACTTTCACTCTGTGCTGCTTGTGCTGTTCTTTAAAAGAAAGTTTTGTTTTTATGTAAAGCACACTGAGTTGTCTTGGTATGAAATGCACTTTATGAATAAAGATGCCTTGCCTTGTCTTTGTGACTGTCGGTGCATTTTTACTAAGGTTAATGCACTAATTTTGATCAATTAATCCCTTGAAAATATCACTTTTCAAAAAATGATGCAGGTAAATCACCTTCTGACACCATACCTGGCTTACAGGTAGTTAATGTGTGAAAAACACAGGCTACAATTGTAAGCCCTTCCTTGTCAAGATAAATCTACTCCGGTCAAGTTTGAGGTGTCATTCAGAAATGTGTTCTCCGTGAAGACCAAATCTCCTTTATGCACTCTTTTAATATCATTTTATAGAATAAGTCTTTGGTGGATAAAGATATCTCTCTGTTTTACATACTTCTTAATTTTCTTTTTCAAGTCCCACCAAGATCACCTTGATTGGGGCGGTGCTGTTCTCTCTGCAGCAGACTCACTACCTGCCCCTCCAGAAGCACCACTTGATGCTCCTCTACACCGTCTTCACTGTCGTCAACAAGGTCAGTCTGTTGTATATGTTGTTGTTTGTGTGACACTGTGACCATAAGAAATAAACACAAAACAGAACACGTGCATAAATCTATTTATTTATAAAGAATTTGGTATAATAGACTGTTTTTTTAATGAGGCGTTTTCTCAGGTACAAAGAATGTTTCTGTGCTGTTGCACCCTCAAAGTCTGCAGTGTCCTGTCTTCTAAATGACCTTTCTCCCTCTGCCTTTTTGAAGTTTTAGCTGATGTGACTCACATTAACTCGGTATTACCCGTAGGGCTGGGGCTTTTGCATCATTTTCATCAGCTTGCATCATCCTCTCTTCTCTGGGAAACTTGTGCTCTTGACTGAGACACAGATAAATCCACCATGTCTTCTTTCAACTCTCATTCTGTTAGCCTGCTCTGTCTCTGATCCGTCAAATTAACGCCAAGCCATTTCATCAGATTTAAAGAGCTGCATCCAACACTGCTGTTTATCATTCTGTGCTCCTGATGGTAAAGATGCTAAAGATTTATTCCATTACGAGAATTACATTCTGATCTTGCACCTTGCCGTTCGATTAGTTTGTATGTTTGCTCTCCATTGAAAAACAATTTATCAAATACTGCATGTCGCCTGAGCACACTGGTCAAAAGTGAAACTGCCAACGTAACACTATCATATAATCATCTAAGAAGGTCATGTGAAAAAAATCGTAAAATTTCCACAACCTAAAAAAAAAATGAACAGATACGGTACAACATTGTCACTCTGCATTTGGTCTGTAATGACCTACTACCACCTGTGATTTAAGTTGATTTCTCATGATTTGCAGCTTAACAGCTCTGCTGCCATTGCCTGGATTGCAGGACACGATTTTGCACCACTTTTTAAGCTATCTGCGATGGTTGTAGCTCCTCAGGCTGCTTTCACATCTATAACCTTTATCATTTCCAAACTCTTGATACAAGGCGGAAACTAGCAGTTTTGCCACAGTGTCAACAGGCAGAGGTGAACTTTGCCAGACTCCTTTGGGTGGATCCAATATAACTCACCCAGAGTTGGTTTTAAAGCCAAGGTTTCTAATGTGCATTTATTGGTCATGTAGCCAACAAATAATTTTACATCCAGCTCGCATATCAACAATTTTTGGAGCTGCACAGTCACAAAAGGTTCATTATCACGAGTCACTGCTTTAATGTAAATTTAACTGCTTTGAAATGAAAGTTGTTAATAGATGCTTTTAATTTAAGAGCCTGTAGTTTGTGAGTTATCAAACATTGATCTACTCCATTTAGGGCTGGGCGATATGGCCTCAAACCAATATCACAATATATTTAGCAGTTCACCTCAATAGTGATAAATGGACGATAACTACTCCACAAGTTGCTCACCCCCTCCCACATTAACTTCGTCTACTTCAGCTGTCGCTCCAGCTTTTGAACGTAGGATGTAGGACAACATCTTCAAGGGGCATGAGACCATCGCCTACCTACACACATCCAAAACTATTATTTATTTTTTGTCACAGAATATACTGATATGGGCAAAATGACCTCGGTTATTGTCGTAAATTTAAGTATCGGTAAATTTTCGGTTTATCACCCAGCCCAACTCCATTCTTCATAATTGTCCTCTCTTTCATTTTAGTCAAGGATGATGCTGACGGGCTCTTCCACTTCCCCATTTGCTGTCATTGAGTCAGCGGTCTACAAGACCCTCTTCACCGGCTACTCACCTTATTCTGCCCTCACAGGGGAGGTAAATAATCCTTGCATTGATAACGGGGCAACCAACACCACAACCTCTACTGCAGACAAAAGAAGAGAGTCCTCTGAGAACGGAGAAGCAGGGCAACACTCCCCAGTTCCTCCTGTTAAGGGACAAAGTGAATCACTCAAAGCCAAAGACGAGTCAGGGAACACGGAGACGGCGAGCTGCAAGAAGACCGACTAGTCAGCCTCTGCCCGTAGCGCCTTTTCACCTCTAAGCCGGGTTGTAGAGTCATTTCTGATTCAGATTTGTCATTTCAGGACTTAAACTTTTCTGACTGCTGAAAAAAAATAACTATGAGAGCCGACTCCAACCAACCCTGCACCTTATTGTGGGATAATCAGCCCATCCCTAAAGTACTGTGAAATTCATGCTGTCGGATGTGAAAATCAAACTATCCTGTGGCTGATGGTACATGCAGTGCAAAAAGTGTAGCTTAATTTTGATTATATATTTATAACAAATACAAACTTATCGTTTTATCTATCTCTGGGTTTTGGGAACAATGCTGTGCACCTGCTGCTTTTTTTCCTCTGTACATAATTTGCTTCACCTAAATACTATATTTCCTACTCTTTAATTTAAGTGATTTTATAAAAGAGAAATTTATTCTATGACACTCATATTTTATTCTATTTATACTAAATGATTGCACTCTTGAATGTATGAGATTTCAGATCGGATGACAGCCTTTTTATTTCATGTTTCCTTATTGAATGCTTTGAAATACGTTTGAAAGCATGGGAATAAAAAGGTTTAAATGCATTAGAGGATGTGTTTTTTTTTTATTCCTAGCTCTTCATAGTGGCAGTTAACATGGATCCAAGTCACTTTCAAGCACCTTGGAGATCATTAGTTCGGGTAAAAAGTTGTACAACATGAAAAAAGAGCTCTCCATTAGCTGCTGGTGAGTTGGTTAAAAGCAGCACAGCGTCCAGAAGTAACCTCCTCTATAGGCTGAAACATTGCATCAGAATAACATCAGCACCTGATTGATACCTCACTCGCTTTAAAAAGCTGCTGGAGAGCGATCCCCCCTAATCCCCCTCAATTCTCATCTATGTAGCCTCAGACGGAGAAGAACCCCCCTGCGAATACAAATTAAGAACAGATGGGTTTGGTGTCGAAGAGAAAAGAGAAGACGTTCAAAAAAGCCGATCAAAAGCGATGCTGCTGGAGTTGACGTACCTGCCTTTAATTTGCCTCAGATGTCAGATGTATGCATGTCAATTACAGGCTTGCTTTCAAACTGTTTGCTGCAAATCTGCGTGCGTGTTGATCCTCTTATGTTGAACTGTGTGACCTGGAAAACTGGAAGACATTAACAAGCTGCTGTTTTCCTCACACTGCCTCCTATGACAGGAAGGCAGGTGACATGACGGCAGCTGAAAGTTCCCAGACAATTCTCTTAATGAGGTCTGGACCTGTATGACCCCCACCACAATTACTCACTGAACTGAGTATCCCCCCCACTGACTAGCCCCTGCTCCTTTCACCCCCTGCGCTTCACCTGCCCAACTACACGCCTCCTCAGGCTCTTTTTTCCCCTCTATTTTCTGCCTCTTTTCCAGTTGTCAGGTGTAGAAAATTAATCCTCTATTCTCTACACAATGCATGCAGGCATTTCTATAAACTTGACTTTAATCCCCGCAGTGGCATCGAGTAAAGGTCACAGATACAGGAAAAAAAAACATGCCAAGCTAATGTTTGGAAATATCAGATTGTTCTTAGTGTTTATATGCATGCAAAGGGACAATGCAAGGATCCTGTCCTCTACACAAGACGTTTAACCCACAGCAGAAAATACACCAGGACCAATTAATCTGAATACCCACAATGAAGTCCAGAGTGGAAGTGCATAACCTGCCATTATCTGCAGCGACAAACGGGCACAGCCACAACAAGCTGGTGTGTATGTTTTTTTTTTGTATTTTATAGGACGGTATCACGATCACAGTCTGTAAAACATGTGCAGCTCATGGTCTAAGAGAAAGAAAAATTCCTCCAGTTTTCACACCAAAAAACATACAAGCCATCTGGAAAATCATCAAATCAAAGATGTATGAAAGAAATATGAAGCAGCATCGGCTCCAATATCAAGAAAAATGCTTGTAACAGAGATGTAAGAACTGCAAAAAGTTCAGAATTAACTACAGAATTAACATCTGTGATATAAGACACAATGTTTGTCCAACTAATGGTCCATTTGGAATAATATCCCCAAGCTGCTTCTACTTTGCTGATACACCTGACACCCATAATGTTATCCTTACTCATAATCAACAAAAACACCACTGATATCAGTTTCACTTCGGCCATACTCACTTCTGATGTTAATCTGGTGAGTACGCTTTATTTGATGGACCTGTGGCCAGATTAATCTCAGTCTGTGAAAAGTAACAGCACTGACTAAAGAGAGGGCAATAATCCGTTACCTGCATCAGCTAGACACGTATCATGTGTTGCCTAGTTATGACCACAAACAAGAAACCATTAAAACGCCCGTATGATCTTGAGAAGTGAATCTGCAGCTGAAATTAGTCCTCAAAAATGCACCATCTACTTTATATATTACTTTTTATTATATTATTTGAGCACCTGAGATTTTAAGAGTAAGAGATTATACACTGCAAGAACTTTGTTATGCATCATATGAGTTTAACAATCATTGCACTTTCTATATAGTTTGGCTTACATGGTCTCACTCTCCACTGCCAGTTCAGTTTTTTAACAGTCTTGCTGAGAAAGGAATTAACACTTACTTGTTGCTAGTGGATATACAGTACATGCTTATGTGCTATTTTGTGTTTACTTTGTATGGTTTGATATGGATATTTTGGCATCCTGAAAAAGTCTTTAAAAGTATTAAAATGAGATTTAAATTTTTTTTAGGTAATAATAATAATAATAATAATAATAATAAAAAAACTTAATCCTACCAGAGAGTAATCTTATTTTTTATGTGAGACATGTTTTCAACTTCAAACTAAACCAATAAATAAGTAAATAAATAAAAACAAGAGAAAACATGGAAGTTCAAAAACGTGGCTCCAAGATCAAGAAGAAAAAACAGATAGGAATGGGTATTAGGGGCAAACATCAGGACCTAATTTTTGGGTTTGGGTTTTAATTATATCTCAAAAGTCTTTGATTTGATCAGAATTTTAAAAGTGTCCAGTAACCCCACTAATAACTCCAGTAACCGTAGAGCTTTAAGTGAACTCTGGTGCAACACACCGAAAAGGTTACTTATTATTATTATTATTATTATTATTGTTTAAGTTTTGGATAGAATTGCTTTAAATCCCCTTTCAACTTGTACTTATACCTTCCTGGGCAGAGTGTTTAAGGACAGGTGATGACCACTAGGTGGCGTGAGGAGGCGTCAACTCTGATGGCTTGATGCCTGGGAACTGACAGGCTGGCCAGCAGCTGCAGGCGAGAGGGGATGGGGACAGGAGGGGACCCTCCTTGCAGAGCCAATGGTAGCTGCCTGCACGTGTGTGAGTGTGTGTGGTCTAGTTTAGCTGTGCTTGTTGGGACTCACCTCGGACATCTTACCAGTCTTATGAGGACATTTTTAGTAGTAAGGGAATTTAGATGGACAAAAAGGTAATTTCTGATTTAGTGACTCTAGACTCACTCCATAAGAACCTAAAAACCTCAGAAGTCCTTGAGATGCTTTTAGGGTCCACTGAGAATTTAAAAAGGGGTGTTATTTACCCTGGTCCCCAGAAGAATGGGTAAACCAGTTGACTTGTATGCAGATACTTGTGTAGGCTTGTGTGTGTGTTCGTGCTTCAGTTTGTCCGTGTTGATGCATGTGCATGTGACACAAAGAGTGGCAACAAAGGCTGAGTCCATCAAAAAGGCACAAAGAGCTCTGGGGCACACACACACACACACACACACACACACACACACACCTACAAGCACACACACACACACACACACACACACACACACACACACACACACACACACACACGTTTAACAAATCCCTCCAACCACCACTGAAACCAAAACCCTTTGTTTCCCCTCTTTCCCTGAACAAACAAACATGACCCAAAGTCACACCTCTGTTGTCACTGAATCTGCTGAATTTTAATTGTTCATCATCAAAGCTTTTATATTTCTCATTAAAATGTTTTATTTTTGATAAGTTTAGAAATAAAAAAAATGCAGCTGCAGTGAGTTTTTTGGCTTAATTTAGTCAGTGTGAGTAATCTTACTGATATTTTACACCAGTGGACCTCCCATCACACCGTGGAATTAAGTGTGAAAGTGTTAAACTAGCTGCAATCTTATGGCTCGTGGCTGTGCACCTGCTCCAGCTCAGCGGTGTCTGAACGTGATGTCTCAGGCCGAACCTTGTTTGGCCTCTCACCACATACTGACATGATCTCTATTGGGATCCTGTTCACCCTCTGAGCTGAAGTCTGCCACGGCTGATTCATCGACTAAATGAGAAAGAAACTAATGGGATGAAAAGTTTTCATAGGTGCTCTATGGTGTGACAGCAAAATGAACAGCTAAAACTATTTTTCACTGACAACTTCTTCCTTATGGGATATTTTCCAAATGATCAAAGTGTTTTTTAATCCAAAGTTTTGTCAAACGGGTGATGCAATCAAGCTCATTATCTCTTCAAGTCAGATGAAAGTGAGGGAGAGGAGTGCTTGGGACCACACAGGAAAAAGACTGGGGAAGGAAGGAGAAAGGCAAATAGAGGGCAAGAAAGAGTGAAGAGGGGGAAAGCGAACTGAAGGACTGAGCAAAAAAAAAAAGTGCATGGAGCTACATGATGACAACATTTTGGTGTTGTGTGCATGACATGTTTCTCCCTCTCTCTCACAAAAAACACACTTTCGCACATGCACAAACACAGCAGTCTCTTCAGAGAGCTCTGACTGAGCGCCAATCCAAACGGCCGATGTCTCCCACCATTCAAGATCTGGCTTGTAAAGAACAGCTGCGAGGAGAATGCCAAAAAATGGAGCTACTGTAATCTGACTAGCGGACTGGCTGACTGTGTGTTCATGTTTGTGTATTTGTGTGTATTAATGCGAGAGAGGCATCGGAGAATGAGAGGGTTTCCTTCTGCTTGTTTGTGTAGACTTTTTCGCACTTAAATATGGATACAAACTATTTGCTGAGAGGGCTTTAACTTTTGGACAGCATTTTATACTTTTACAGAATATATAAACACGTCAAATACGCAGAAAACTGCAGTGTAGCTTGGGTATTCGCACGTAAATATATTCAATCAGTTTATCATTTCAAACAAGTCACGCTATTGTCGCAGTGCTGTAGTAGATTTTCCCTCAAAGTGACTATAAAGGTAATTAAAACCTCTGTCACAGTGTCAACAAACCAACAACAAAATTTTATTGCAGGTTTGTTGGTGTCTGACTAAACGAGCTGTAATAGCTCATCCTTTTTAAAACGTTCCGATATTGTTTATAGTTTTCAGAACAATGTTGCTAACAACTATAAAAACTTCATCCAGATACAAAAAAAAAATTTGCAGTAAAAAGTATAATCTACTTTACAAACATACATTACCTTTATAGTGAATTTTGCCTTTCGAGACCATGTTGAACATTCAGTATTTCTTACCGTTTTCAATTAAAAGCTAATTGTCTTCTGGAATTTTCATGTAAACATCATGAAAATTAAGTCAGATGAATAAAAATATTTTTTTCCCCCGTTTGTTTTTTTGTAATTATTATGTCGTCACTCTACAACAGCTCCACTCTTTGTTCCTGACAGTGTTTAGGATGACCATACGTCGTCTTTTTCCCGGACATGACCTCCTTTTTGGGGGGCTGTCCGGGTTTGTCCAGCTTTGTCCGGGGAAATTTATAAAATCCTTCAAATGTCTGCGGTTTTTTACGCAAGTTTCGATTTTGTGTCACATGGACTTACTGAGTTAGAAAAGCATAAAAGACACTGGATCCGACCCGAAAAAACTCTCCGTGACTCCGCCCCCACGTACTCATGTCCTCTTTTTGGGAAGTCAGAATATGGTCACCCTAGTCAACTTTCTGTTTTAATACACATGGAAGATCTTAGTTTAGGTTGGTTTTTAGTAGTTATGCACATCTCTTTAAAAGAAGTGTGACACCATACCATATGTAGAAGCTAGTTATCATAGTATTGATACCATAATTAGCAGCTGTCTTACAAAGTTCACTCAAAATAGTCTTGTTACGTTGCTAGCACAAAATTTGATACAAAATTGGTTAAACACTCTGACTTTGGACACTGAGAGAGTAAAAAGAGCTTGTACTGAGAAGTGAAGAGGAGAACACCCAGGAAATGTAAAACCACAACTTGAAAAATCGAGTTTTAAGCAGCAACCTTTAAACTTGAAGAGCAAAATCAATGTAGTTCTTGTGTTTTCTTGGAAAGCCAAGAAATTCCTTACAGCCGAGAAAAAAAACGTGTACAGCCGGATTTGAATTTTAAAAAGTCCTGTCTTAAAAGTTTGCTTCTTTATTCATACTCACAGATCTGATCTGTTTAGATAATATGACAGGGTTGGAGTTATACGTACACTTTCATAATTAGAGTCAAGGCAGAGTTGACTGACAAGTGTGAAGTTCTTCCTCCCTTTTACCTTGGGTTAGATGGATTGCCAACATTTTCAGTTTGGTGACCATCATTGTCGGGCGTCATAACACTTCTGCCAAGACCAATAGTGACATTTCACAATCTTTGTCATATTTTTTACAGCAGATAGATTCTTCTTAAGGATCTGTTTAATTTTGTCTTTATGTTCCAGTATTGATCTTTGGTAGGGTGCAGACACAACGGTCGCTACAAATTCACTGAGGGAGTCATTTGAATACATGAATTTATTTTACTGGTATTTTTCTAAGTCGTAGAGTTATGTTTGTTTAGGACGGTTTGATTTAAAGTAAAGTTTCCTCAGATGTTTCTTGAGTTGGGCGCTCTGTTGGCTCTCTTACTCTCACATTGGTTCCTGCTCCACCTCCATGAGGTGAGCTTGGTGCCCTCTTTTGTTCTCCTCTGTATTTTCTGTTCTCGTAAGCCCGGCCAGTAGTTGGTACATGGTGTGCCCCTTTCGCTCCCCCTCCTCCTGCTCCTCCACCTCTTCTTTTCTTCTTTCACTGAGGAAGCAGATGGCGTTTGGTGTTGGTCTTTTTCCTTTTCATAAAGGACCTACTAGATATTCTTAGCCCAGAGTCTGTATGGGCTAGATGTGACCTTGCAAAGGAAATGAAATTGGAGTTGCCAAACCACAATGACAACACCCTACTGCAGGTTATTTACACAGCATGGGTGACGTTACACAGTCCAGTGGCTCGTATCTGTTCATATTTCCCATTGTTCCTTTCTCCATTTCCCCTCTCTCCATCAGTCTGCTTTATTTTCTCCTACTAATCTGCTGTATCTCCTCCTTCCCTCCTCTCCCTTCCTCACTCCCCCCTTCTGTGTCCCTCTCTCACATCCTGGGGGACCCTCATTTCACCACCATTGCCCCTCCCCTCCTCCCCGCTTGGCCCCTCCTGTATGCAAAGCAGGTGTCAGCCAGGACAAGGAGGACAGCGACTATACCTCACAAAGGAGGCGACAGGGTCTTGGGGGCAAAACACACACACGCACGCACACTCTTAACACGTGCAAGTCTCCTTCTCTGTCTCTCCTTTTACATGCACATACACTTCACACATATGTGCTCCCTTTCTTTCACTCACTCTTCCACACACACACATGTACAGCTCCCGTGGGCTGGGCTGGGGCTGGGGACAGGGAGAGCTGGAGCTGTCTGTCTGTCTGTCATTAGTATTCCAGCAGGAGGCTCCTGGCCCGGCCAGACATCTGAGTGGAGCAGCCGCAGCAGATAAAGAAGAAGCCATTAATCCACGGAAGATTACCAGCACTGATACTTTATCCCAGCGTAATACAGCAATGCAACCAGACTCATTCCATTTACAATAGCGTCAGAGGGAGAAGGAGGAGGTAGAGGGAGCTCACCTTGTGGATGGAAAGATGGCAAGACACACAGAGAGCCAGCTTCCCCCCTTCTTAACTCTTGTGATTTGAATTTCGTCTTTGATGGAGCAGAGGTTGGGCGAATGTGCGTGCGTGTGTGGTCCCGCATTTGATTTGTAGATGTTTTGAATTCAAAACGGGTCACCCCCTCAATCTCTGCGCCACAGATGGCCACTGTTTCAGAAATCTAGGATGGTCCGGAGAACAGCTGGCTGTCTTTCCTACACCATGCTGTGCCTGTTTAAATCTAATATCCTTAATAAGTGTGTTTGTATGGGTCTGTGCATGTGCGTATCCCTGATTAACCTCCAAAATGAAACAAAAAACAGTCAACCAAGCAGCGCCACAAGAACCTCAAACCAGCCTTTTTTTTTTTTTTAAATATCCACCATTTTCTGCGATAAGACTATCAGCACAGTCTGGAGGACATGATACAGTAGAGGCAAGCTGCTTGAAGTCACAATGAAACAAAGAAAACCAGAACAATATCGCAGCAGATGTACGAGATTAGATTGGAGTTAGATTTATACAAGCTAGCTGATAAAGCCTAGTCATGGTTGGGATTTCTGGATGATGAAACAACACCGGGAGGAGGAAGGAAGAGAACGAACGGTTGACTCAACAAGCGGCGATGACAGATGAGCTGAGGAGAGGAGGTGGAGGCAGATAAAGGAGACAAAGGGATCCTGGGCCAAGGGAGGAGGAAGAAATGAAACAGCGAGTGGAGACAAAGAGAGAGATGAAGGTGCAGGAAGGAAGTTGAAAGACAGAGGGGATCAGAGTGTCCACTGCTTGTACACTGCTGAGCTCATGTGTCCAGTAAAAAATCCAATCCTTCAGACTTGGCAGATAGGGTTACTTTGAGAACAGCAGTGGGGTTATTGTAAGAAGAGGGGGAGAGAGAGAGAAGAAGTGGGAGAGGGAGAGATGGGGAAAGGCCAAACTTGCTCCAGCAACCATCTGTTACTCCAGCTCCCCCCTGGCACTGAGATCAACCTGCCTCTGGAAAGGAATGTACAAGTCTAACCAAGAGACAGGGTGAGAAATACAACCCAACACCAGGTCTTGGCTCCGTACTCTAACCTTTAATGTTGTCAAACCTGCAGAACATGTGTGAAGGTGATCACAACCACCATCCTACCCATTATTTTTTATATACAGTTGGCTGCTGAGGTTTTCTAGGCATGTACGTTTCATAATGATGACATGATCAAAAAACTCTGGACTTACAGAAGTCCTGACTGAGGGCAAACTTACAATAAATCAGCAGCTAAACTACATGGAGAACTCTTACCCATAAAATATAAGAAGGACCATCATCTGTCCAATCAAAACTGGAACTACCCACTAAATAAGGTTATTTATCCCAACACACCAAACATCTGTCGCACCGTAGTATCATAAATTACCTTCTCGATAACCCGGCTGAGCTCAGCGCTAATCATGGACACTCATGCATCAGTTAGCTGTCCGTCTGGCCTTTTTATATCCTCATAAGACCAAGTGAAAGTTTTCATATGGAGTAAAAGACAACATAAATGAACGCTATGCTTCTTTTTAGCATGATAGCAACATTTATTATAGTTTAATGCTGCCGGCAATGACAGTAAATATGATGAATAAGAGATACTGACAATCAAGTTTGGCATTGATCAGATGAGTTGGTATCAATTGTCTTAAAAACTTTATAAAATCACAATCACACTACCGCCCTACTACATTGCAAGGTATGTCCTACTTATACAGTGGAAAGGTATTATGTATCAAAATTAGGGTGACCATATTCTGACTTCCCAAAGAGAGGACACGACTACACGTGGGCGGAGTCACAGAGTCGCACGAAGTACATTTTGAGAGTTTTTCGGGTCGGATCAAGTGTCTGCTACACGCTTCTAACTCAATAAGTCCTCATGACACAAACTTGAAACTTACAAAACCGCGGATATTTAAAGGATTTTATAAACTTCGGACAAAGCCGGACAAAACAGTTGAGACAGCCCCCAAAAGAGAGGACATATCCGGGTAAAAGAGGACGTATGGTCATCCTGATCAAAATGGATGTCTGCAGAATAGATACAATTTTTTTTCAAATCCCAAACTTAAAGCCAACTACCCAAACTAAATTTCAGTGGAAACTACAGAAGCTTTCCTCGCTTTTGACCATGTTCTTTCTGCTCTTGACACACATATGCCTTTTCAGTGACATCCCCTCATGCTCTCCACTTGAAATGATCTTCTACTTTTGCACAAACACCCTCACACGAGAGAGAAAATTCACACACTTTCATTTTGTGTTGCTAGCAGAAGGTAGTAATTTGCCATCAAGCTCTTCATTTATCCAATTCTTTTGGAAATCACTTTACATTAATAGGTTTACTCAAGTTTAATCACTGAATGGTTCTTTACAAAGAATAAAAAAATGGTCACAATCAGTCTTTATTATTATAGCGATCGTTTACTTTGAATGATGCCGTCTTCTTTTGAGTGATCTAGTTTTTATGGTCTCAAAGGGAGAAGTTCAATTCCCAAACCATCCGTGACCTCCGCAATTAACTCGACGACCAATCATATCAGAGACAGAGAGAAGAGGATGTGAGCCACCCAGAACTCTAGAGACTACAGGTCCTCAATACTTCATCATCAATGTCATCATCAGACATAAACCATGAGGCACTGGGTCTCTGGGCAGAAAAGAGACTGAAGGTATGAAAAGAGAAGGGAACAAGGACAGCTGATATCACTTTTTGTTGCTATATTAATTTACATTTCTCTGTCTTTGATTGACACATTATTACATTATTTACATGTCGTATATTAATATGTAAACTTTGCTGGTTTTCACTGAATGGTGATGTTCGTTGGCTTGTCCCCCTCAGACAAAGTGGCTTCTTCATTAGACACCACTTATCTCCTCTACGTTCATTTATCATACCAGATTATGCTTCACTGTCACATCTCCTGATTAGCTAAAGAAATATTCCGGCGTAAAATTAAGTTAGGGTCAAACACACCGTAACACCGAGTTAGACACCCCGTCAAGGGATGAATGTTGCCGACTACTTGCTTCACTAGTTATACCAACTTTAGTAGTTGTTGGTATAACTAGAGAAGTAAGCGGTCGGCAACATTCATCCCTTGACAGGGTGTCTAACTCGGTGTTATGGTGTGTTTGACCCTAACTTAATTTTACACCGGAATATCCCTTTAAGTTGATTTTTTTTTCATCCCTCATGTTTCTTGTCTTGTGTTTCCTGTTTTATTTTTGTTACTCACCCTTGTCTCTTGTTTCAGGTCCATTGACTTCCTCCCCCTGGTGTAACCTGCTCCCCTGATTACCCTGATGAGTCTCACCTGTGTCTCGTTAACTCCACTGCCCTGCTGTATTTAAACCCAGCTTTCCCTCCCCTCTGTGCCAGTTCATCTTGTCCGTCAGAGTTCCAGCATATATTTCTTGTGTTTGCCTGAGTGTTTTGACCTCCTTTAGTATTGTTTGGCTTAGCCTCTTGCCTGCCAATTTGGATACCTCTGCCTTGCCTTTTTGGAGTCCGAGTCATTTTTGATTTTGCCAGCTTGTGAGTCTGCATTTGGGTCCTCTTTGGTTCAGTGTTACACTTTATGTCTGTCTGTCTGTCTGTCTGTCTGTCTGTCTGTCTGTTATCTATCTATCTATCTATCTATCTATCTATCTATCTATCTATCTATCTATCTATCTATCTATCTATCTATCTATCTATCTATCTATCTAGCTATCTATCTATCTAGCTATCTATCTATCTATCTATCTATCTAACAAACAAGATTTCATCACCTTCATTCCCACATCTTCTCGCTGATCATCTGTTGGGTACATGATTGAATTTAAACTTCTGCATGTCCCCTTTAAAGCACCACACAGACTTGCCCCCACCTACTGTTCATTCAGGTATAATCTTCCTCTCAGCTCAGACAGCCCGCCTTGTCACTAAAGGTGACAGGGCGCTTTCTGTAAGAGACCCCGTACTTGGAAAGTCCCTACCTGAGGACATGAGGTTTGTTTAATTAGTACTTTCTTTATACACTTCTTAAAACCTGCTTTTATGGAAAGCCTTGCTTGTGTGGGTGATTTTAATTTTTTACTTTTTATGTTTTATTATTTATGGTGCGGCGGATGCTTAGACTTTAGTTGATGCCTGGAGTTTGTATTATGTTCTGCAGGACAATGTTAAAGTCAAGTGGCTCCTTGTGCTTCTGTTTGAGTTTTCCAAGGTGAATGTCAATAAAACCAAACCTTTTCGGGTAAGATTTCAAAGCTTAAAACCAGCTTAGATGAAAGGGGTTTTAGTCAGTTCATGTAAGATGTGGTTTTGATGGCTTTGGATGGCATTCTGCAGCAAAGCAATGTATGCTCGTTCTACCCCTTGTTCATTTTAGTGACTTATTTACTTACCAGTACATTCATAAACGCAAGAGTCCGTTCAACTTTTACAAGCATTTCCTTTTCTTAATTCTCTTTCTGTGGTTTGATTTTCTTGCATCTTTCCAGCAGAGCTTTGAAAGTGCATCCTCATTGAAGTTTTGATCCTCAAATATGAAGGATGAGCAAGATGTCTAAGAGAGCAATATTCCCACAAACTCACTCACATTTTCATCTCCACCTCCGGTCAGCACATCCTTTGAATCTCAAACCTGATCTTCTCTCCTCACCCCATAATCTCATCTTTGTCCATCGCTTCCTGCCTCCTCACCTCATCCTGTTTCCTTTAAGCCGAGAACATCTCAGCCTTTGCTTTGAAATCAGGAAATGAAAGAAAGTCTCAGTATTTTGGCAGAGTGAGGGAGGAACCATTCTTCCATAAACACCGTACGATAAAGGTTACCAAGCCACAGCCAGAGATAGAGCGCCACTGTTTCCAAGAAAGGGCTTACTCCCATTGGTGGATGGCTTTTTCCCATTGAGTAAAGCTCCTGGAGAATGATATGGCTTGTCTGTGTTGACAGGCTTGAGATAAGGAAGTGCCCTCAGGTATTAGTTGTCATTCCTTTTCACCAGGAAAAGCAGCTGAGAGTAGCTACCTTATTTCTTTTTCTTTCCCCTTTCCTCCTCTTTTGGATGAATAGAGGAAAAATTCACAACAACAAAGCCTTCCACTCTCATTAAATCAGCCGCAAAGCCAAGCACCACCAAGGAGCACAATATCTGAGGCAGATGAGTAATCCCCCTGCTCAATCTACAAGCTGGCACAGAATTTCAAATGTCCGTAATAACTGCCGGAGAAGGAAGTGAAGGGCACACACAAACAACCTGTACGCACACGCATCCATGTACTGTACTGTGATGAAAATGAATCTGTTAATGACCATTAGGCCACAGCAGTGCAGTGCTGAAATGTCCTCCAGGTTGAAATGCCACTCTGTGACTGGGTGTGATTATTTGTGAGTTGCAAGTAGGAAGAAATAGGGTAACACTTTACTTAACCATAATTTATGAATGGTAAATAGATAGTTTATTAATGTTTAAACATCATTTAAAAACAGCATATAGACCAATTATAAATGGCACATAGATGGTTTATTAATGTAAGTTAATAGTTACTTTACCATTAACAAACAATGAAATTATGATTATTAATGGACTATTTATTAAAGGTGTATATATAGGGTTTAAATATTGGTTGTAAAACATCTAGATTAAAATGTGTGTCGGCAGCACTTTGTTAATGGTTAATATTTGGTTTTTAATGGTCTATATGCTATTTTTAAATGATGATTAAACATTAATAAACTATCTGCTTACCATTTATAAATGATCTATTTACCATTTATAATTTATGGTTATTGTAAAGTGTTACCAAAAATAGTACTTTCTGACTGACTTGAGCGTATTTCAACAGCCAATAATTGGATGAAGTTTAGTCTCCAATTAAATTTTACAGTTTTTTTCTGAAGTCTTTTCTTGTTAGGGATGTGTTTTTTAAAGAACAAAATCCACCATACTCAAGGTCATATATGATATAAATACATAGTTTTTTTTTTAAATTAGGTCCAAACTGTAAAAAATAAAAATATAAAAGTATTTAAATTTGTTTTAAAAAATGTCACACCTTCCAAAAAATCAGGAAACCTAAGCCAAGATGTAAATGCAATGGTCTAATTTAATTTAGTGAAATATTAATGAAAAGTTCAAAATTCAGTCAAAGACAGATGTCAAAGTCTCTCCTCTTGGACATCTGTTTACCTGTGAGTTAGTGTGTTTACATGTTTATACAAAAGTGTTTTTTTTTTGCCTTGAGCCAACTGAAATCAGACTTTTGCAAAACATATTGATGCATTTATCAAACTGAACTTCTCATAGTCGGACTGACATACTGGGATTGATTTTCTCTTTCATGTATCTGACTCAACTGAACCGAAACGAGACTAAACCATCAGTGCATGCTCCAGTGTTTGCATGCTAGAAATGAAGCACAGAGCACAGAGATGTTATTAGGAAGCAGCGTAGTTAACAAAACCTCACAAGATGACAAAGGATTTGTTAAAAACGAAGAAGAAAAAATGGTACAGAGCTGTAAAAGTGACATACTTTAGCTTTTAATCAATTGTTTTGATAAGTAGTAGGTCAAGCAAGAGGCAACCCAACAGTAACAAGCTGAGAAGAGCATGTCACCACCTTCTATAATGGAGGCAGACATGCTTGTTTGCAGCTTGGGACAATGACAATAGCTTAATGGAGGTTCGACTGAAATGTTCACGTTAACTTGTTTCATGCATAGACATTGTACACGTAGATGCCTCATTACGTGCTGGAGCCTAATCCAGTGTCACCGTCATACTGGATGGGTCTCCCCACTCTTGGCTCGCTCAAGAGCCAAACAGGGTCAATGGAGAACGAGCAACTATGCCAGTTTTTTTGCACTCTATGGTTGAAAAACCCGACGCAGTATTGAAACCAGACCATGTAGGATTACATTTCACAAACAGGATTGAAAAATAATTTGTTTTATTTTTAATGTGCGACATTGTCCTGTATTATTGCTACATCCCTGCTGTTGTAACAAACCGAACAGTTTGGAAATGGGGCAGAGATTCAGAGAGTTATTATCTATATGGTTGGGCATTCCTCCCTATCTTAATGCACTGGAGGCGCATGGGGGCCCATCCAAGATGGCGGCCGCGCTGATATGTTAGCTCCAATAGGCAGCGTCAGGCTTTGAGGCGTCTACGTATATTATGTCTATGATTTCATGTGTATTCGTTTCTCTGTCATTGGTGTGTTGGTGTTCCTCTTGCCCTCTGTATTCACCAGTCAGTTCACCCATTTCCTGCCTTTCTAACTTAAATTAACATAGCTGTTGCCCACCTGCCACTATGAGTTTAATCAGTTTTCTTAGTCCTAAAGACCTCCATTTCCCACCACCTTTAAGCCTATTAGTCAACCACTGCCCCACAGAGCACTACCTAATCAGTCATGCTCCCTTGCCATACTTTTTGAACGGTACACACCTCTCAATCCCTGCCCATATCTGAGTCTGAATCTGTGTTCAGCTGTTCTTTGTGTAAACAGTTCAACATCAACTCAAGTCTTTCAACAACACGAGAATACTACACTTATAAAACCAGAACAGGTTTGCAAGAGGCCCTCTCTGTAATGAGATCCAGATTGAGCTCTAAGGCACAAGCAGCCCTCTTTTAAACCATGTGGTTACTGGGCTACTTCTAGGTCACAATTACATGAGCTTTTACAAAAACATATTATTGACAAATATCAACCCAACCTTTAAAATAAAACATGGAACTACCCTAAAATTTAAGAAAACAAAAAAATAGAAAGATATCACCAAATAAGATGCCTCAACTTTAATTTTGGCCATTCAGTAACATTAACTTTGAGGTAAATTATCACTTTGAATACCTTGTACTTTTTTATCCCTGCAGACTGTAGCTGCAGCCAGCAGAGATAAATATACCTATCACTTTACCTCCACAACTTCACTGAGTGCAGCAAAACATTTTGAGCTTTCTTTTGCATATTCAGCAGCAGCAAAAGTAGAAGCAGGTAGCTGTTGCTGGTCAGAAAGCGAGGCTATTGGTAAAACCATTTAGCTCCTGCCCACTTGGAAATATGGAGCTGAAATGCAGCGATGAGTCAGCTCTTTTTACTGAGAGGATGAATCATTCATCATGGCCGCCAGCGGGGTCCTGGACCGGGATTGAGGGTTGGAGGGGTGGAGGGGTTGAGGGGGAGGTCGATGAGGACCTGATGGCAAGTTCCTCTGCTGACTCCACATATAGAGTATGAAGCTGTAGAGGCTCCTGGTGCAGTTCCTCTGGATTGTATGGGGATAAAGGGATATGAAAGAAGGGAGGCCGAGCAGCAAAATTCTGGTCAGGATTTACTGAAAGCTTTGTGTACAGTTTGAACTGTAAATTGAAAAGGAATTCCACTCCCTATTGTGGCTCCTTTTAATGGTTTAGGTTGGGAATTCTCAACTCTGATGGGTTTATTATTATATTATTCAAGACAACTAAATGACTCAGCTTTGGAAAGCCCCTTTCACTCCAAAGTAAGAAATAATACAAAATTGTTAATAATGGAGGATTCTCCTAAACCCTGAATTATTTCTTAAATCCCAGACTGTGTGTAGGATGTGGGTGTAGCCTCTTCTTTCTAACAAAGTAAGCAGAATCTTCTTTCTCAAAGTCAGCTTCAAAGACATGTTCAATTGTACTTTAAAGTGAGCCTACACCTCACTTATTTATTCCATCAATAATCCCTCTCCATATGACTTTTTGGCCTCTAGGGCTGGTTTCATGTCTTTGCCAATACAGCATATAATTCATTGTGAAGGCCAACCTTCAATAAGATGGCCACATCTGAAATGTTAACTCAATGCTTCAAAGCAAGTAGTCCATAAAACTCTAGGTAATGTCACAGTGAATAGATTCACATCCTGTAATCTACGGTTGGCTTTCAATGGTTTGTTAAAGGTTGAGCAAGACTGGTTTAGCCAAATAAACCAAAGTATTCCTGTGGGATGGTCATAAAACTTGGTGAGGATGCAAACTCTGGGCTTCATAACAAGATACAGGTCTTTAGTCAGCCAGGACAGCCATATATGATTGCTTTTCTGATGGTTAAATACACCTGGAAACCTTTCTTGTTCTACTTTTCCAGTACCTTCTTGATTGAAAAAAATGTTGAATTTCACAAAAACTAGCAATCCGGCATTGGCACCTACTCTACTATTGGGAACTATGCTCAATTTCTATATTCCCACTCTTTCAGTCTTTTTTTTAAACTGTGGCTGGGCACCAAAAGACACCTTGAATTTCTTCCAGGTGATACAGTATTCACAATTTTTTAATCATGTGTAACATCCAGTTTGACTTTGGCACAAGCTGTAGATCTAGAGGATGTAGAATAACTCGAATATGAACAAATTCACAGGAATCCCACAGTGCCAAGAACTTATCTGTCTTTTGACCTTGACCCATATTCATACAGTCAAAGTAAACAGGAAGACCAGACGTTGGCCAGACACTTTTTTAACCCTAAAAACACCGTCTGTACCTCAGTACAGGGGTTAATCCTTCAAGAACCGGTATCCGTTGCCTGGTCTGTGGAGGATTTCCTGTTTATATCACCAGTCTGCCGTGTTATTTGCACTGGTGCGCATTGAATCTCAGGATATGTTGGACCTGATGCATCCTTTATGGCTCAGGATTGGTAGGATGCATTCGCCAATTGCGTTTGAAGGAGCCTTCAAAATTGTGACATCCCACTTTGATGCAATTGGTCTCCAGATGTGCCTCTCTGAGGATAAAGCCCTTGAATTAGGACATAGCTACAGTCCAGCCTCTCTAATGCTCATGTGGCAGGAAGTCAGCGAATTCCAACAGCCAGCTTCTGAAATCTTGTTGAAAGTCTTCTCGTATGGTTGTCATGTTTGGGTGGACACGTCAATGTTGCAGCTTAAAGGCGCACAAAACAAGTTTACTGTTTTTAGTCACTTCACATCACTCACACATCAGTAATCAATGAGCTGATTACCCATGGGTTGGTACTGTAAATCCTTCAGTCCTGTAATTCAACAAAAGTAAAAGGGCATTCCAGTTCATCTCTTCACTGAGATAAAAGATTATGTGCAATAAGCGATGCATTTCTGTTAACTATGTTTTGAAGAGTCTTCTGATTGTCTTCTGATGAACATGGCTGCTATAATCAATCAGCGCTGTCATATCAGAGTCCGATGAGAAAGAGAGAGAGAGCTCAGTGATATCCTGGTAGGACAGCCTCACCCAGAGGGCCAGGGAGAAAACGAAAGGGGAAGCAAACGGGCAGAGAAAAGGAGAGGAACGCAGAAGAAAGACGAGCCTGGAACATGGCATATTAGAGAATATAAGCGGAGCAAAAGAGAGCGGAGTGTAGCTCAGGAGAGGCATCAAGTGACCCCCTCCTTCCCCATTGTTGAGGAACACAAGAGCTGGGCTGGCTTGAGGCCACCAAAGGGGTAGAATACATTAGAAACCAGCTGGAAAGTGCAAGGAAAAAAAGAATGAGGTAGAGGTAGAGTAGCTGGAGCTTTTCATGTTGTAGAGAGAGCAAACATCAACACTAGCTGAACTAAGATTGCTTTATACACGGGGTGTCTGAATTAGCTGTGCAAATGTTTCACAGGTTAGGATAATTGTGAACAGGTTAGAAGTTTTTGTTGCAGTAAGAGATGGAGTGTCTCTGCAGGGAGAGTTGTGCAGGAAGGAACTGGATGATGAGGAGGAAGGGCTGGATTTGGTGGGATGACGAGAAAAAGAGGACAAAATAAAACATGAAGAGAAATGACCGGTGACTGGACACGAACTCTTAACCATTCCAAATATGGCTGTTGCAATTTGCCACTATTGATAATAACAGTCTTTTTAGAGGCAAAGTCATTGTGCTGAAATAAACAAATAATCATACTGTGTAACTAAAAGCTTCACGTGGGGGTGGGTCACATGCTAGTTACTGATGTATCATACACCAGTGAGTGACTTCTGAGGTCATAAGCATGAAGGATAACCCAGACATTAAAGCTCCTGTGAGGATCTTTTGGTTTGTGTCAGTTTTGGTGCCCCCTGTGGACTACACAGTCTTTGCCTAGCTAGTCCTTTGCATAGTGACGTAAACTCTTCTTACAAAAATATCTAATCCTGCTGACTTTAGACAGTCAACATCCCCTCGCACTGGTTTTAAGGCTTAAAAATGACCACATGTTACTTAATCTTGTTGCTTATTGGTCTTGTTTGCTTTATTTCCTCAGCTGTTAAAACACTCCATAATCATTCCAATCCCAAAGAGGAGTACCACCAAACCATTCAATGACCTCAGACCTCCCACCTCCCTCCTGATGAAGTCAATGGTGAGGATTACAAAACAACTAACTCACTGATGGATCCTCTCCAGTCTGCGTAACGCACATGTAGGGGTGTCAGCAATGCCAAAATATACATCCTAGACACCCTCCACAAACACTCGGACCTCCGCCAGATTTCGCGTTTGCCAACATCTCTTCAGCATTCAGCACCCTTCAGTTCCAAATCCTGGCCAACAACCTCTCCTCTTCCACCTGGACAACCAGCTCATCCTGTGGCTCCGATTTCCTCACCCACAGGTCACAGAAAGTGTACGTCAACAACATTTTCTCTGACATACGACACACCTCAACCATGCTGATGACCCAGTTCTCCTGTCTCTGCTGTCAGACTCTTCACAGCCCCATGGACCAGCCCTCCAGGAGCTTGTAGACCGGTATGACAACTCATGTCTGGAGCTGAACGTCAGCAAAACCAAAGAGATAGTAGTGACCTTTTCCAACAAGCAGCGGGAGCTTGCTGCAGCAGTCACTTCCGCAATTCACGGTGAGCTAGCAGAGCATGTTGAGGAATACAAATACGAAGGCACCACCTTAATAGTCGGCTGAAGTTCTCCTCCAACACTGAGAAGATCCTTAAGAAAAGCCAGCAGAGACAGTATCTCAGAAAGTATCACCACCTTCTCAATGATCAGCTAGTTTCAATCAATCAGCCTTCAGGACAGAAACCGCCAGCAGAAAACTGCGACTGTCTGCTCTAAAATAATTGGCACACCTCTCAGATCTTAGCCAGCAGGTCAATTTTTAAAAGAATTTACCAGTAAATTTATACAAGTTGAAATTTTGACTCGATCTTTTGTTTTCGTGGATGGTTACAGGACTCTGTTCTCAATTCCAAAATGGCGACTCAGCCACAGCCAGTGCCTCAGTGTTTCAAATGGGTTGCTCTAGAAACCTTTCAATATTTCTATCACCTTCAAGGGTTTAAAATGTTGATCACTAACTATATCCTTACCCTCAGACAAGGACTCTTAACAGTGCTGTATGTAATCCAGGATTTTGCTAAACGGTCTAAAATGAATGTTCTTGTTTGGCCAGAAGGTCGCAAGACTAAAATCTCCTCCCAAATGAAAAAGATAAGAGCAAAATCTTCACACAGCTTCCAGGAAGGTCCGGTATTTTCCTCACCAATCCTGCTCCATTTTTTTTTTCATATCAGTGATGAAAACATTCTCAAATCCTCCACTACAATCTGGTTATAATCTGCCTCCTCCTACACCAAGGACAAGCTCCAACATGGTGTCTACACTGATGAGTGGGTGAATGGCTGTCAGCTGCCCTTCGTGAAGGAGCTGCGTGATGCCAGGGTGACACACACACACACTTATATACACACACACCCACACTCAGAAAAAAAGGGCAGGAAGGATTTCTACTGAGCCTGTACACCCAGGCAACCATCTGCTCAGAAACCCTTCCTATGGGAGACATTGCTTCCTCTCCATAGTCCCCTATGGAGTTCTCTGTAAACCTACCAGGGTTGCTGTTGACATGATACTTGTTGTAAGCTGAGGCTTGTTTTTATGGTCTTACAATGACTACGAGAATTATCTGTATCTTGTTTTCACTATATAATACACCAAAAACCATGGATCAGGGCCTTTTAAGCTTCTCCAAAGTGCTGTTTTAACATCACTAAGAAGTTCTTCAAGACTTACTAAAAGCAAGAATTGCAGAGTGTGTCCAATGTGTCCACTAACAGATGGTTTTTACACAAGTAGCGCCGGTTTTTGCAACAAATCCAACACAGTTCAGCGTCTTGATGATAAGTAGTTTTAGCTGTCTAATGTCAACTTTGTCAACAACACTTGTCAGTCTGTACAGAGAACAAAACAGATCACACTTGTTAAGTTAAAGGCACAGTTTTAAGGCCAAGAGCTGCTGTGACTGCCGCTTGATTTTGATCAACTTCTTATGTTTTCTTTGTTAAATTCTATTGAATTAAAGGATACACAAAGTATACGTAGCATTCTTAAGTAAACTAGTATCAAAGGACAAGTTTCCAGTAAAAACAAGCGCCAAAGGGAAATGCTCTGAATTTAGGTCAAGTAAAATATTCCTTTATTTTAATTTTAACACATACAAGTACACAGTAAGATGAAGTAATGTCTCTCTGGGATCATGATGCTTCACAGAGAGTTCACTTGAAAATATGAGTTTCATCAGCAGGTCATATGTAGATGTCGGTGCTATCAGTGGACACAGGCCCTAAAACTCCTCACAGGAGAAAGTGAGGCCATTTTTAACATCACTTTGGTCATTAAAATCCCACTGCAGTAACATAAGTTTTACATTCAGCTACTTTTATTTTCAGAGTCTAACTGGACTTTCCTTTTCCATGATAATATGTGAAGAAAGCTGTCCTGAATTAAGAATAATCAATAGAAAACATATTAGGGATTAAATGTAAATCCATGACTGACAATATTGTTGAAGTGCAATATCTTAAACTTGCAATAGTCTAAAGAACAGATTTTAGTGGATTCTGACTGAAAATAAATCACTGTTTAAAAAGTAAAAGTGGCCTGTCTTAAAATAACTGTTAAAAACTTTATTTTCATTGTTTGATACAATTAAAAAAAAAAGAATGTTAAAGCAATATGTCAAAATCTTTTTTATTTTTTATTTTTTTTTCCTAAACCTTCTCACATTTGAACTCAAACCAAGTCTTGGATTTCTGACAGCAGCCTAAAAATCCCCCTCATTCTCTTTTCCAGGAAACAAGACACAACCACAGCAGTAGCCACAGCCTTGATTGTTTTACGTCCATTTGGCTTCCTTTCCCCGGCTTCTGTGCCACATCCTGGTGACCAGATGTTTACCAGTCTGCTTCATAAAAACTGAAAATGTACACAAAAGAAAAAGATAACAAAACAAAGCCACAAAGAGAAATACTCCCACAAGTTCCAACAAAACCAAACTTTCAGAAAATCTTAAATTGCTATCATTCTGCTGCAATTTTTCCTGAAACACTGCTCAATTTCCCCAAACATCATTTTCTCACATCATTTTGACATACATACTATTTTTCCCATCACAGCATGAGGCTCCCAGTGTTTTTTTCTTCATCACACCAGAGGGAGCCCCTGTCACTACTCTGCTGTGTTTGAGTCCCCTCTGCAATTTCTAACGCCTCATCCTTTATGATAAATTAATGCCGGATGATGATGACGGATATCACCCTGCCAAGGTAACTGCTATTATGGAGCAGAGATTGAGGACCGGTCAACCGAGGCTGTTGTTTGCACTGTCTCCCAGGTGTACAATGCTGGTGTAGAGCCTGTGTGATAACAAGGGTCATTAACTAGGGGAAGGTCAGCAGTGTTAAGCTTGCGCACTTAAACCTGATGGAGACTGATACACATCAAAAAGAGGTGACTTGTCTGAGTCTGCTCGTGAAACTGCTTCAGTAGTGCCAACGCCAACAACTTTCAAAAGAAAAAACTTTAGAGGATGGTACAACTCTGGCTCCAAAGGAGTCGGTACACTGGGAAAAATATCAATAAAAACAAATTTTGATTGTTGGCAACAACAACACAACATTGAAATTACATTTTAGGAGGAACATTTTCAAACTAATGTGACTAATTTGCAACCATAGACTGTATATACTAAGGACAACTTGGCACAGTCTTCCACCAGTATACAGATTTGAAGCCGAAAAGATCTCGGTAATTCCACATGAGAGTTGCTGAGAGTCACTGTGATGACGCTCAGCTCAAACAGTGTATCCCTTTGGTGAGCTATGCAATCCTTTTACACCCATAGGCTGTATCAGGTGTCAATCATAGAAAACAATGTTTGTATTGCAGATTCGTGCAGTTTACAGCACAACAGCTCCTTGTCATTTTCTTTCTCCGTTGACTCCACTAGTAAACAAATAAGAAATGTCCCACTTTCTGCCCTAAGGCTGCATGCGCATACCTGTCTGTGCAAACCTGTCTATTGCTGCATCTACAAATGTAGATTAAAAACAGCATTTCAATCAGGAGAGAAAAGTCAATAAGATAATGCCTTATTGAATTATAAACAGAGATTCAGATGCTGATAGTCCTGATGGGTGGTGGAGGGTTGCATAAGATGAAGGCATGTGTGAACTGGGGGAAGTGAAAGCCAGGAAATCAGCAGCACTATGACTAATACGGCTAATATTGGGGTTGCACTGCGGTGTTGTTGGACAGACGTCACCAGGTGATGACGAGTGGAGGAGTGGAGGAGTGAATGCAACATGTTGGCACTCAGTAGTTTAGTTGTGAGAAAAAATCAGGGGGGATGGTGGAATTTATTGTGTGGGACAGATATTTTGTTTTGCTGACAGTGCACATGGTGGGTTAGCGTTCTTGTTCAATCAAAATATATATCCGTATATAAAAATAATGAGATAGTGATATTTATTTACAGCCTTCCAAGGAGCAGTGCAAAAATATTTACAAAAGTGCAAAAAAAGGTAAAATACTATTTAAAAAATGTACAAGGCAAAAAAGAAAATACCAACAAGACAGGAGTTCCACTATAACTTAAGAAAAAAAAAATCAGAAACACAGCAGCAATAAAAAAAGTCAAGTGGCTGTTATCTTCCATGCAACAACCTGTAGACTCAATGAAAGGCCCAAACAGCCTTCGTTTAAACCCCCTAGCCCCTCTGCATGGGCGTTAGTATTTTATAAGTTTTGAGAAAAAAAATCACATTAAACCATTTTTAACCTTAAGACATTTTTCTGTACGTTTTCACCATTTTAATTATGTTTTTACACAAATCATTGGAGCATTAATTTTTAGCGATTCGTGGCAAGAAACAAGGGAATACTTTTTTTCTTGCATCATGTGACCATTTTGACCCTCCATACCTATCTATTTTACACCCGGAAATCACGCGCTCTGGTTCTCATTTGGAAACACAAGCCGGCATGATGACGTGAATGGACACACAGCAAGTAAGTGGAGGGATGAATATCTATGTGAATGAATATTTAAATTAGTCTATAGAGCTCCAAGTGTGCACCCTTGGTTACCCTATCCAACAGAGAAGGGAGGAGGAAAAGTAGCGCTGTTTAGTGGGGAATTCCCGACGCTGGCAGGGAGGGAAATGTTGGCGTGTCTGCAGGTATATGTGGCTCCATGTGCTACCCGCAGTCAATGAGGACGCCGCTCCGTCACACCCCCTAAACGCTGAAATTGTGATAATATTTCTAATGTTTAAATAGTAGTGATATTTCCACATTCATTGACCATTTTTAGCAGGGACTGATGTGAAATGGAAAACAAGTCATGATTACAAATTCTGTTTGGAAATCATAAATTCTGCTTCCCCAAACCAGACTTTGGCTTAAATTTAATTGTTTACATATATATCTAACTTAAATCCAGTTGAACAGTAGATTCGGGGGCCAATAATGCCAACTGAGAAAATTACTGAATGTCTCTCATGAGTTGCTGTTGCAGATATAGAGATACCCATTAGTGAACTACGCCACCAATTGCATGTCTGTATAAAATGCAGGGTATGCAGCTATTGCTTTGAGTGTCATGTCATGAGGTTAGTCAAACTGCATGTGAAGTGAATCTGTCTGAGCCTGCAAACAGTTTTTAATTGGTTTGAAAACAGACAGTACGCGTTAGGTGTGTCACCTGCCCACGGGTCAGAACAAACCCAGAGAAACATGGTTGTTGCACGAAGACTTTATGACTCCGCTGCAACACATCTCTGTGGTTACTTTTATCACACACTGCAAAATCTTAAGATTTGAAAGGTAAATTTTTTTCAGCATCAGCCATGAATATTTGTTGATTTGAAGAGTGATTTTTAACTTGTTTTGTTACCAGGCCTGTGGTATTGCCATCACATGTTTCAGCCTGGTGTGCCATGTGTGATTTTCAGAACAGGTTGTACTGCTCCGCATCAAACCTGGACCAGACATGTTCATGAATCAGTGTTTAGCAGCAACATATTTTCCATACAGTTGTCATGGTAATGTGATTACTTTAAAACATGTTGTGCTGGGGATCGTATTAAAATCACAGTCTTGTTTGCTGTCTTAGCAGCGGTGTGTTGGGGACCTAATATTAGTTACGCTCTGTGTACAAAGCATAGTGACCAAAAATTGAAGAAAGGTGAAAGAAAAAAGGAGAAATGCATCTTCCTCACAACAGTTTTCTTTGCATGTTTCTCTGCAGGCAGATTTGGAGTCATTGTAACATAGGCTCAAAATTCCCAACACAACTATAATCCTATAGTTATATCTTTATGGACTTGGACATGGTTGCATGTACTCAGACTGGGAAGATGATAAAAAGGATTTAGATTAATTTGTACTTTTTTATTATCTGTGTAGTTTCTCATTCATCCAGGTCATGGTTATCCAACTAGACTTTTTTGAGGTTATTGAATACGTTTCACCTCTCCTCCAAAAGGCGTCTTCAGTTCAAAGTATCTGGGGCCAATGTTCGAGACTTGTAGCCTCTGTTGGTCTTCCAGCTGTAAAAGGGGTGGGTGGTCACCTGAGAGTCGTTAGCAGGATTGGTGACCTGGTTTCACCTGGGGGGTGCCCTCCTAGGTTTCCTTAGGTTCGCCTTTCTTGCATGATGTTGGAGCCTGTAATCTAGCATGAAAGGGTTGTTATCAAAAGGAACCCAAAGCTGAATTGTTAGTGGGGGATAAGAAGTGCCTTTGTCCGCTGCCTCTGTTCAAGGTTGTTTTCTGTAGTTTGATAAAGACGGCTTCCTTGACACCTCTTTAAACCAGCGGTCTTCCCCGGCCAGTATCCTAACATCCCTGTCCTCAAAGGAATGCCCCGTATTCTTCAGATGTAGGTGAACAGCTGAGTCCTGACCAGAGGACTTAGCTTTCGCAGTGTGTTGGTGTGTTTGAAGTGTACTGGCATGTTGTGTTTCTGGATACCCTCGACAAGTAGGGAATAACAATGCTGTGCCGCTTGTTGTTCTCTTCTTCCCTGTTGGTCTCCAGCTTCTTAGAAGACTTGACAAAGGCCCACTTGGGGTACTCGCGTGTTTTCAGGGCTTCCCTGAGGTGTTGGTCTTAGTTGGTATCTTCTCAGCCCTGTGTTGAAGAGTTCTGATGACGCCCAATGGTGAGAATCAGATAGTAGATCCTGGTCTGTGTGGGTAACTTTTCTGTGAACTTCTAAGCTGCACAATCCAGGAACTTAAGAGAAGAACAGCTGCTTCTTTATGAATCCTCAGATAATGGGGACTCAACTAGGACACAATTCCTCTTTTTTTTGTGATTTGGTCTTGACTTAAACTTAAACGCTGGAGACTTGAGGTTTGGTGTCTTCAAAGAAAGGTCATGGTTTGTTAGGTTTAAGGAAAGGTCAAAGTTTGGGCTTCAAGATGTGACTTTCATACAAATGTTGGGTTTGGTACATGACGAAAGGTAAAGTAAGAGTAAGTCTCGATAAGCAACACAGATTGTTGTTTCTAATGGGATTCAGACAGCAGTTTCTGAGGTTAAAGTTGTGAGATGAGACCTGTTGTTCTTAAAACCATTCAAAGTGCAATTATTTTCATTGAGTGAGGCCAGGCTGCACGATTAAAAACAATGCAATCCAAAAGCTAGAAATGTAACAAAAAGAATGAAAAATGAGTCTGTACAGGGGGAGCTAAGGTAAGAAAGTAAAAGCCTGCAAGGTAGCAGACTCAGGGTCATGTGCTGCAACAGTAAACAATTGTTGAGGGCTAAATTTGATCTCTTTTCTTTTCAATCAATGCTCTCAGTATTCAGCTCACAATTCTTGACTCCTCCATCTCTCCATCTCCTTACAGTCTTTCTCATGTCTGTCATTTCCTCTCTTTTGCCTTTGCACCACATCTCTCAATTATATTTATTCATGCATGCCAAGATATACAGTGTGAATATTCTTATTAGATGCTGTTGTAGAGATTCATTTCTTTATGGGGCAGTGAATTGATATTCATGACTGTGGAAGCGCGTTGTAAGGTGTGTAATGATGGCGGAGTCATGTCCTACCGAAGAAGGCTTTGGAGGGAATAATATTTGGTATGTTTGCATCAGCTGCAATGAGCCTGAGTTGCGCGCCGAGGATGACACCTTGACTCAGACGGAGGGAAAAAAAGGAATAGATTGCGTTTGTGTGACTCATAGAGGTTTTTTTGATCATCAGACTCATATTTGACACAGATCAGAATTGTTGGCGCGGAATTGATTAGCTTTGAGTGATGAATAATGAATCATCAAGAGGGCACAAAAGCTGTTGCAGCATTTTAAAGACTTTAAAGTCACAAATTGATTAAATAATATCTAATTAGGGACATTTGTATGCTGAGGGATGGGATTACAATGCCGTATAAAAAAAAGAAAAGAAAATGGAGACAGAGGGGGAAGAAAAACAGACAGGAGAAATGAAATGTATGCCTGCAAGAGTGACATTATGATTGCCTTATTTATGACAGCCAAGAAATAAATCAGGGAATACTTGTAATTCTAACCTCAGCTGACTTTGAAGTAACTTTTGAAACATCAGATTTTTTACCTCAAATGCTTATACACCAACAATGGATGCCAAAAACTGAGACAATGAGACAATAAATGTGACAAGAGCTGTTTTAATTTTGCAGAAATTAGGGAAAAATAGCTGATGGCAGTAGAAAAAAAGAGTCTATTGTCACCATACGTCTTATCTCTGCAGGGATTTCCCCTTAACAGCAGAGCGGTAATGAGAAGAGGAAATTGAGGAGTCTGAAACAACGATCTTGTAATGATAAAAGTAAAGTGCTGTATTTCAGAGTGACAAACACTTTGTATTTTATTTAAGGTCTACAACATCTTAGTGACAGTAATATATTTTTTTACTTTTCCCATTACCAGCTTTGTTTGTTTAATTCCTTCAAAACAAGAGACAAAATGTGAAATAGTTTACAAAGATTTACTTGTCTGACATTACTTGTGCTGTTAAATTCCTACAAAGCACCGTGCTGTACTAAAATGGTTGGATTAGAACAGGGGAAATAGTGGTTTCAGGTAAAATGCAAGACATCTGGGGGTGTATTCGTGGCTGCTGTGCTGGTGCAAAGGTGAAGGCAAAGTTGAAGGTTAGGAAATGGAGATATAAACCCTTTCTTCCATCAGTCATCATGGGAAACGTCAACTCTCTGCCCAACAAAAGAGATGAGTTGGAGATGGTGAACGCTGAGAAAGCATACTGAGAGTGCAGTCTCTTGTGTTTTACTGAAACTTGGTTGAATCAAAACAACTCGGACTCCAGTGTGGATCTACCTGGCTTCACTCTCATAAGGTCAGACAGAGATGCTAAAGCTAGTGGAAAGAAGAAAGGAGGAGGTCTGGCTTTATTTGTCAACCAGAGATGGTGTAACCCTTCACACATACTGTAAGGAGAAGTTGTGTTGTCCAGATACTGAACTGTTGGCAGTTGCTCTTTAGGGAGTTCAGTCATACAATAACAATACTTGTATGTATTCTCCATGATTCTGTTGCTAGGATACAGACTCAACACCCTGAGGCACTAATGCTACATTCCAGTTACCTCGGAAGTCGGAGCTGGGAATGACGTTACACCCGAGTTGACGGCGTTCCAGTAAACAAGTCGAAAAACCAAGATGGACGCCCACTGTTAGCCGTTGTTAGCCATTGTTTACAATTGTTAGCTGTCTTTAGCCGTTGTCAGCTGCTGTTAGTTGTTGTTAGCTGTACCTAACTCTACAAACACCATAGCACCGTGTTCACAGTTAGACGTTGGGCATAACTTTTGAACTTTGTACCATATTAACAAATCACTCATACAGTGTGATGCAGGTTTTAAATGTGCGACAGCAATGATGGCGTCCAATGAGATGGCAAGTAGTGTCAAAAGTGTTTTCTTTTGTTGTGATAACCACTGAGCTCACAGCGAACGTAAGGCACAAAAGCTACTGGAACTTTAATTCTTGCGCTATTTCTGTTCCCCATTTGTGCCTCTACTGATCTGCACCTTTTCCTGCTCAGTTTGTGTCGATGTGTAGACTGTAAACCAGATTGTTTCCTTATAAGACTAATCCCTAAAACTGTTATATTACCCAAAACACTCCTGATATGGAAAACAAGTACATAAACAGAGCTAAAAATTCATGTTCACACATAATTTTACTGATCAGGTAACATTAGGTTACGTCTGACGTACTCCAAGTATTTCCTCCTCTGTGTGTGTGTGTGTGTGTGTTACCGGAACTTTATATGTAAATTAACAACCTGTTACTTTATTTTGATGTAATGAGATTGTCAGGCCCTGCCTCCCTAAGTCCCCGGACCATTAAAAAGTACTACCACCTGAGCGGGGGGGGGAGTTTCAGTGCGTACATTTTCAACCCCAGAACTAAATTTAGACCTGAGTTCCTTGAAGCACCGTTACTTGATCCAGCCCATTCAAGGATCATCTGTTTAAGGCTGTGTGTTTGCAGACATCCTTTTGATATAATACAGTATTTTGACAGGATTCATTTCTTTTATGTTTTTTTTTTTTTATTAAGAGGAATGATTGAACTGCATCACTGTGGATGTCAGCAGAGGCACCGTGACTCTGTCAGTCATCATCATATCCACTGGGGGGACCAACCACTCCAGGCTGGACCCACATACAGTAAATCTGAACATATGCTCACATTCCTCTCTTGTCTCTTGGTGTTTTCTTTCAGAGGCAGAAGGAGGTGATGCTGGCCAGAGCTGTCCTGCAACAACATCTGGAACAGTGTCAGTTCTCGCTGTCTGTGTCTGCTGTTCCCTGGCGCTTTTCTTCAAAACTCACCCAGATTTTTTGACAGCATGATGATTTCTTCTTCTTCTTCTTCTTCTACTTGGTGTTGAAAGTGCAGACAGCTTCCCCCAAGCTTGTGGAAAGAAGGAATTGGGGTATTTCTGCAGTTAACAAGCAGGGTAAGACAATGTATCTGGTTAACAAATCTCTTTAAATTCACGTTTTGATTTTAGGATTTGAACCACCTGAAAATATGAGCAAAATGAAGGGACAGATACAACAAGTTAAAGTTAAAAAAAAAAAGGTAGATGAGTGAGGAGAGAAAAGATGGACATAAACTGAAATTATCCTAGCTGCTATGGGGACTAAAAAAAAAAACACACATTCCCTCTTTGGTTGGAAAAACTGAGGGAAAAACACAGCTCTTCACTTCGTGAAGAATAGATTGTCATTATGACTACCAGCCGCCGCACAGCGACACCATAGTGACAGCTCCAAGATTGGAAATATGATTGGCTAATCCTGCAGGATGAGATGAAATACTGTGCCTTTCTGAAGACCAAGGTAAACTTTGTTGAGGACGGGGAGTTAATTGAAGTGTCACTCCACTCCCGATTTGAATGACGTCTTGGACAAATGAGAATCACTGTTCCTGCTCTCCCCTCGCTCCCCCTGCTCTGCATAAATCTCTGTTTGGAGGTCACCGACTCTGGAAACAGCATCCGGTCAGTTAGTTCACACCAATATCTTCGTCACTCTCAGGCATAAAATGGTAGCTGGGCTTTATCTGCTGCCAGAAGGCTTGACTGACACGCATATTAGCTCCTTTCTCCCAAGGCTCTGAAAACACATCATATTTTCCACAACTTTCATTTTCTCTATTCAGATTGCGGCCACATCGAGGTGTCTTTGTTGCATACTAATTGTGCCAGGCTCACCTCAGAGAACAAGGCAGACATCTATATATGCAAGGAACTGACTATTTTTCACTGCCTCTGTCGCAATAAAAAGTGGCACCCAAGACAGGTTGCAGAGTAGCTAAGATTGGGCGTCATCCGTGGAGAACTGATGTAGATCAAAACATGGACAAAAAAACAGATTGTTTTGGGACAAAAGGTCTATGTAGCAATATAAACACATTCTCTCTTTCTCTGAAACTGCCACTTTTTGCTCCTCTCAGCCTCTTTTGATAGTCTTTTTCCCTACTGTTGTTTCCCCACTTTCTTTCTACAACTCTAATTTAACAGAAATCACATTTTTCCCCTCATTTAAATGACAAAAAAGAGGCCTCTTGTTTTCCCTGTCTAATTCGACTCCCATCTTGTGCTCTCCTGTATTCGATGTGTTCTGTCTGAGAGAAAGATGATGGTACCCAAAAAATATTAGACTTCTGAGGTGAAATAATCCCAGGTTTCTGTTGTATGTATTATAACTTTACAGATAGAATATGGTGAACAATAACCCACTGAAGTCCAACGATTACCTGCTAACGCAACAGCGTTTGCTCTTTTCAGGAGTTCCCATTGGTTGCTTTGTCCGTTTTATGCAGGTGCTTTCTGAAACTATTGTTCCCTGCACTGGTTGGAGGCAAATGAAAGAATTTTTAAAAAACTTTGCCCTTAATTTTAAAGATCTGAATTTTGTTTATAATGAGGCTTTTCAGCAAAGTGACAAGCCTTTTAATTGCTGGTATTTGAGACTAGGGGTGGGAATCACCAGTGGCCCTGCAATACCATATTATCACGATACTTGGGCCACGATACGATATTATTGCGATTTTTAACATTTCGCGATACAGTGAGTATTGCGATACCATATATTGAGATTTATACAATTTTTTCAACTGTTTAGCCAATTTAGCATTTGGCTTTCCTTTATGTTTGTCTTATTTACACTCCTAATGTCTTTCCCCAGGTGCTGCTATATTTGTTGAACCAACTTTCTCCTGCTCTTAATGTCACCTCTGTCAACCTCATTGGACAAACAGTTGATTTTTTTCCATTATCATAGATTTGATGTCATATTCACAATTAATTTAAAAAAATTGATACTTGGTATTGAGACGATCCGATATATCACCAGACAAAATATCGCGATACTATGCTGTATCGATTTTTCCTCCCACCCCTATTTGATACTGCGGTTGTGTAGAACAGCTTGTGCACAAGTTTTGTCTCAGAGTTCATATTATTTCATTGCACTTAATGAAACTGTTCGAGCTTCCTTCATTCAAAGATGTCTGAATCAGCCGAGCAACAAATTTCAAAGAGAGCAACACTTTGTACATCACACAGCACAATAAGCCAAATCAGTTTTAGAAAACATGATCTATTATTTTTTAATTAGCTGGGCAAGCACTAATGGAAAGTAATAATAGTTTTTTAAACATGTTTTATTTTCAAAAGGAGGTTTCAATAGGCTTTAGTTTTGTACTCCATAGTTAACGGCTAAAATGAAGAGCAGACGTGGAGGCACAGGCTGCTTCAAGAACATTTTGTTTGGACAACAAGAATTATTAAAGATGGGACTCTAGTGGTTGAGAGGATGCATTTTCTCTGTTTCTCATGTCTCTATTATATCTATGGGCCTTTGCTTTGTATGTATGGAGAAAAGCTCAAGGAGAACGGGCCCCTCACCGAAAGAAAATGCAGAAAAAAGAAAGGGGGGAAAAAAATGGGAAGGTCTTTGGAAACCCTGTTTTGATGCTCATTTCATGGATGCCGTGTGTGTGAGAGACAGAGAGAGAGAGAAGGCCATGTATTTGGGATGAAATGAGTAACATGTTGTGTCTTGTGTGTGTGTGTGTGGCTTAGGATGGCATGAGTAACCTGATGATGTGTGTTGGAGCCAGAGGACGCATGAGTCGCACTGGAGGACAGAGGAAACAGCAGCTGCCGTGGCACGATCACAGACATGCATACAAAGAAAGCTCAATGAGGAAACCCAGGCTAGTAAACATGCACTCCTCTTATTTAAAGGACAGTTGTCAATATTTATACAATGTTTCTTTAATTTTTTATGATTTCATTTATGCATTTAAGAGTTTTGCTCCATATGGGAACCATTTACAGGCAACAAATAACATAAAATACTATCATATTATATAGCGTGTCCTTGAAACGATCTTAAAGGTGAGTTTGAAACAAACAAGAAAATCCCAGTACAGTGTGTCTTTGATAGTAATTTGGTGGTTTAATATCTACCTAAAGGGAAAAGAGGAAACCCTGCCTCATAGCTGACAATGTAAACGAGATTGTTTTTATATCCTCTGCAATAAAAGGGCGAGAGGTGGAGAAACACTGATCAAATAAACATAAAGGTGAATAATTCTCCATCCTCAAAATGCTGGAATCCACCCTGATTTGTTTGTCAAACTTATTTAAATATCCAAAAAGGCTAGCTTCGTCTGCACTGCTAGCATCTGAGCTGCTCGAAGCGCTAGGTGCCGTAAGTCCAAGTGAAATACACAGTGCTCTGAAACTCTTGGCAGATCTTTGTATCTTTCAGATCTTGAGCAGTTGTTCATTGTCTCCAGAGTTAGCTACTCGCACAATCTCGTACATTAGCTGTGAAATGAGCGGCTCAGCTCAAACCAAAACCAAGCGCACTCAATGAACACTTACGTCAAAGCACAATACAGACCAAAAACAACAACTTCAAAGTAACTGATAACGATTACATCAAATCTTTAAAAAGTAACACAACAATTAAGTAACTATAAGAAACTTTAATGGAGCAAAATAACTCATGTAACTCAAAAGGACAATATTTGAACAGCTCAAGATTTGACTTATTTCCACTCATTTTTCTAGTTCTTCATTTCGAACTGCTCCCTCGTCTTGTCTCCCCAAACTCCCTGTCAAAAAGTTTCAAAACCTGTCCTTGTTGAAATGTGTTTCTGGAAGAAAATTAATCAAATTCATTAAAATTTATATTACTTTTTTTTTCGTTTTGTGCTTCGGGGGTAGATGTAATGAAAGTAGAACACTTGCAGATCAGCACACTCAACATTAAACGCTGTGTAAAAAGTAATAATCTAAAAAAGAATAAAATAACCAGAAATCCAAACAGGGGGAAGGGGAGAGTGACTGGAACTAAATGAGCACATCTCATTTTAAACTTAAATTGTGTGTAAAATGATTGTGTAAATATGAATATCAATGTAGAGAAGCTGCATTGTTATTCTAAAAACATCACGTCCTTCCAGTTGAAGCATTTTTACAACTTCAGCGCGCTCAAATACAGTTAACTGATAATCTATTTTTGTTTCACACATGCAGGCAGAAGAGCAAAACTGATTTAAAATCCAAGAGCTGGATTATCAAAGACCGTGATTATTATTTCTTTATGTTCTGGCCTGTTGCTCAAAGTCTCCATCTCCTGCTGGCATCATCTGACACATGGTGTGCGTGTGTATGTGCGTGCGTGTGTGTGTGTGTTTAAAGAGAAAGAAAGCCAGCATGAGGGTCTAACAAAGGAATGTCTGAGTGAAATGAATGGCTAAATCTGCCCATCAATAAGCAGCTTGGGCCTGTGCCATGAGTGCTGCCGCATGCACCCCTGCAGATGCAGCTCCACTTAAAAAAAAAGATACATCTGGATCTAAAATTGTGAGTTTGAGCGTGTGAATGTGTGCGTGCGAGCGGGCCACATGCAACTTGGTGCTCCTTCCAACTAGGATTAAACCCTCAGACATAGACTCATCTAATCACTGGTGGCCCAAATGGAGAGAGAAAATCCAATCCCCTCTCAACCAAGTGTGATCACAAATGCACACTGAGGCAAATGTGCACCAGCACATCCAGCAGGACTGAATGAAGAGCTTTCTCATTTTTCAGGGCAGCAGAATGGACTGAATCACTAAAGCTATAAAAGAGGAAACCCCTCGTTGTCCACATTAGTAAAAGAGGTATTTAAATCATTTATTTTGAAAACGGCTGATGAAACAGAAACAAATTCACCGTAAATACATTGATCTGCATAGCCTTCCTTCTGTGTTAGCTTTTACTACGGACCCACTATGTTAAGGGTCGGTTTTGACTCGTGTCTTATATCAGCTGTAAATTACACAAAAAAAAATTCTCTATCATCCAATTTGGTTCTCATCTCTAGGTTACCTTGTTCGGCTTCATTATCCATGAAAATATTAATATTCTTTGTCAGTATACCTCTCATACAGACATTTAAAATCCTCTTTTAAGCATGTAAAATCAAAAACAGGTCAGTACAGACCCTAACACAGGAGGAGGGATAGAGGCAGATCATACAGAAGCATCGATGAACATGTTGCATCTGTGGAACTGCAAACAGCTCACATCAGATGTGACAGGTTCTCTTTTTTAGGATCAAAAAGTTAAATAAAAAGCTGAAAACTACAGTTTAACTCCTGAAAATGACTCATCTAGTTGCATTGTTATTAGTCTCTGACTCACAGGGTCTCCAACCTAAACTGATATGGTCTATTAGAATGTCAAAATCTTTGAGAAGAACATTAAATCCCTGATAAAGACATTTTAATATTATTTCTTGAGACAAGTGTTAAGGTTACAGCCCTGGTTTTATGATGTTTAAAAGATTTCTGTAGTATATCACTAAAATCTTTGGAAAAAGATGAGAGGATCTTCAAATTTATTTTGTGTTTCATAATATTTTAATTGTCCTCTGAAAAAAAAAAATCGTAATTTTGTACTTTAATTAACCACAAAAGAGTTTATAAACCCTTTAAATGGGTTTTCCAATATCTAAAACACATTTGAATTGAGATGAAAATGAACAAAACTGAAACCAGCAGAAAACATGAGCAGATTTGTTCTTTGTAAATAAGTTTATATATTAGTATTTAAAAGAGAAAATCAGTAAACATGGTTATTTTCATGGATTACAAAGTCAGAAGTTTTTTTTTTTTATCTGACAGGAGGCGATAGAAAAGACAAAGTGAGGGATACAACCGAGAGCTGTTGGCAGTCGAACACATCAGTTGGTGTGTATGTCTTGTGCGCAGGAATAGTCAAAAATAACATTTGTTTATTGTTTATTGTTGGATGCAGCAGTGCCGTTCATCTATCATTTCTGCCTGTGGATAGAAATGAAATTAAGAGAAACAGTGTGAAGGAGAGAGGAAGATGGAGCAGATCTGGTGTTGCTTTGATTGAATTCTGCACAGACAGTGGCCAGATACACCTGGGTTCCTCTGTTCATCTAAATCCGGATATTAGCCCTGAATATAAAACATCACATGCCTGAAAAGCTGCCTCCAGTGTTTCTGAGATAAGGTGAGGCTCTTTCAGATGCAGTTCAGATTTTTTTTGCCGCCTTTGTGAGCTGGTGTGGCCTCCCACATGATTTTGTGCAGAGAAAGGAGGAGTGCGGACAGCAGATTGTGAACAGCAACGCGCAAAAGTCAGAAATGGCGACGGATATGTGTGGGGTCTGCACAATTACCATTATTACAGGCATGAAAAGTATTATGCGAAATAAGAATATTTTCAATTCTGTCAGGCTGAAATGTGACTGTTAATGCAGGGAAAGAGGTCCTGGAGGAAGAATATGTGTCCATCAACTGCAGGAAAATGAATGTTAACAAATGCAAACACTTACAGTACTTTCCACAGAGGCGTACCCACCCACACTGTTAAAGTTTTTGCTTATTTAAGGCTTGTATGAGTATCATGCAGCTGAATACGCCTAAAGTTTGCAGAGCTGCTTAGACCTGTCACTGCTAATGCACGCCAATTAGTTCACAATACTACAGACTCATTAAGACGTGGCGGCTCATTAACAGATTCTATGGGGTAATATACTGTAAAATGTATTAAGATGTATGATTTCATGGACATTTGATATGACAGGTCATTATTTCCACATCACTCAGTCAAAGTTACAGAAATAGAAACATTCAAGCATATGAGCACGGCAACATAGACTATCACGTTTTGTTAGCGGTGGCGATGCACCAAGACTAATATCACTCAATCAGAACAGGTCTTTGTCTCTGTGCACGTTTTTGTGCTTCTTTACATTAAAATCTATTTCAGGTATAGTGTGAAAAAAAGTTTATCAAACAAAGTAATCATTTTTACTCTATTTGAACCACAGCTTATTGGATTTCCCTTCGGGGATCAATTATGTTCTTCTTCTTAAAGCTCCTGTTAGGAGTTTTTGATGTTAATGAAGCAGACTGAAATCTATAGTGATTGTAATTTGTGATTTTTAATATCTGAAAAGTGCGTGACGGATAGGTGATATTTGAGGGGTATTCCGGCGTAAAATTAATTTAGGGTCAAACACAGCGTAACACAGAGTTAGACACCCCCGTTGAGAGATGAATGTTGCTGACCGCTTGCTTCTCTACTATACCAACTTTAGTAACGACCACGCGATAGCAATACACAGCAGTCTGAGGAGCCATAAACAAACCTCAACCAAAACGCCACTCTATAGCCACAAACAGCACCTAACTTCATCAACAGTACATATAGAGTCCCAACCACAGAACTAGCCACCAAACATCTTTTTAACTTTGCCTAATTTCTTTAGCAAAGAGACTAAACACAACTCACCTACTCTCTTCCAGCAGCCGCTTGTTTGTAGCGAGACCTCAGGCAAGTCCATTACAGACTACAGCGGGGTGACACAGCTCAAGGAAGAACATTTATGATCATTTCTTTATCATTTCCTTGAAGTAATAATCATATGAATCATTTTGCACTGCAGATGCAGTAGTTCTTCTGCCTTAGTGTCTCAGTCTGATTGCATTTCCATGAAGAAATGATCATAAATGTTCTTCCTTGAGCTGCGTCACTCCGTAGCAGTCCGTAATGCACTGGTCTGAGGTTTGACCCTAAGTTAATTTTACGCTGGATTATCCCTTTAAGCTGCTGAAGAAACAGTACTATGGCAACAATGGGTCACCCAAACTTAAACTCAGGTAAACTAAGATCAGAAATGGAGGGTCAACTTGATGATATGTGTCAACAACATTGTGTCCTGTAACATACTATATGTTATGTACAACTATACTAACAGGGAGCAGGGGGGGGGGGGGGTTTGTTGCTGCAGTGGATGCACCAGATAGCTAAACAGCTGGCAATTTTCAGCTTGACAACCGACCCATCCTCCATCATGTTTGAGAGCTGTTAAGTCAAAGTTTGACTGTGAGATATTTTGTGAGATTTCTAGTTGAGACTGATACGGCCGCCCTCCACAGAACAAAACTGTTAAATCTCTCATTATTTGTCATCATGTGAGAAGTCTTTGACACTTTCAAAATCTTGTAGGATTTAAATATCTTCAAGAGGAGGGCAGGCTTAATCCTCTGCCCCCCTTTTGTCCTTGCATTTTTCCCTCGT